AGATTAGAACATGCAGACACAATCCAGACAGACTCAACCACCTTATCTTTGACAAAAGGACCAAACATGTTCACTGGAAGAGAGAGTCTGCTTAATAAATGGTGCTGGGAAAACTGGCTTTCCACATGCTGAAAATTAAAATTAGACCCATGCCTATCACCATGAACTAAACTAAAATCAGAATGGATTAAAGATATAATATCGAAACAAAAACACTAAATCTGTTTGTAGAGAGAAGAAGTAGAATTCTTGAAGATGTAGGGGTAAGCAAAGACTTCATGAGCAAAATTCTAATCACACAGACAAGAATGCAAAGCATCAACAACTGGGATCTCATCTTATTAAAAAGCTTTTGCACAGCAAAAGAAATCACCAACACAGTGAAAACCCACAGAGTAAGAAAAAATATTAGACAAGGGACTAATATTTAGAACACAGCAACAAAAAAAATAAAATTCCCCTGAATTTAAAGACCCAATATAAAATGAGTATCTGAGATAAATATGAACTTCTCAGTTGAAGAAATACAAATGGAAAGTAAATATATGAAAAAATGTTCAATATCACTGGCCACTTGAGAGATATAAATTAGGCCAATGCTAAGATTCCATCTCACTCCAGATAGAATGGCTATCATCAAAAATTCAACCAAAAACAAATGCTGGAAGCGGTGTGGGGGAAAAGGGACCCTTCTCCATTGTTGATGGGAGTGCAGACTCGTACAACCACTGTGGAAATCAGTGTGGAGATTCCTCAAAATCCTCGGATTAGAGAGAGATCTCATTTCACCTAGCTATTCCCCTTCTTGGTATCTTCTCCAAAGAATTAAAAGGACCATACCACAGTGATACATTTGCACTCACATTTATAGCAGCACAATTTGTAATAGCTAAATTTTGAAAACAACACAAATGCCCATCAATCAATGAATGGATGAAAAACATGTAGCTTTTTATACAGTGGAGTACTACTCCGTTGCATAAAACCTTAAAGAAGGATAAACTTGAGGCATTTAGCTAAATGGGTGGATCTTAAGACCATACTTTTAAGTGAAATAAATTGGACACACGTGTGTAAAACACCACATTATCTCTCTGGTGTGAGAAACTGAAAGTGTAAATAGGAACAAAATGTATGCAAGGTACTGTGAAATAGGAAGAAACTGTTCAAAGGGAAAGGGAAACCAGGGAGCAGGGAACATGAAAGCAAGAAGAGAGAAAAAAATGGGAAAGAGGGATAAAATGGAAACAAATCCTTGTAAATAAGGAGGGGGAAGGGCAAAGCGGGTGTTGGCAAAAAAAGGACTTAATATATATCATGTACAGCTACAGATTCCCTATGATGAATATGATCATTATGTATATATGAATTGTACCAGTAAACTTAATTTTTAAAAAAGAAAGAAATAGGACTCGTGGGTAAGCACAGGTCAGCTCTTGTGGGGCCTGTTAGTCTGTGATAAGAAAGTAAGATGAGAAGCCATGGGAAAGAGGATTTTAACAAGGAAATTATATAATATGACTTCCTGGGCTTCAGGAAAGGAAGTGACAGATTAGGGAGAGAACAGCGGAGGGGTTTTTCTGGACTGGGGACCGGGGCAGCCTGAGCCATTGTGGCAGCAGTAAACGTGGAGAGAACTGGATGATTTGAGATTTATTTATGAGCTACGGTTATTTTTCAAGATATGCACATGCATTTTTCTTTTTTGTTTTTTGGCTTCCTTCTCCTATTTTTAAAAAAGCTTTTATGAGCACAGGTCTGCAGTGCAGAGTGAGTGCATTTATAGCAGGGGGCTGGGACCAGTCAGAGCATACTCCAATCCCCCTCCTTCCCCTTTCCCACCCCTTTTATTTTTCTAGTGTCAGATTCATTTATCTTAGAAAATCTGATGAAGTTAATTATCACAGATACAGATTGAAAACCAGACTAGTGGGCCAAAACATACGAAACATATAAGACAACTGTACTAAGTCAAGGTACAATTTTAAGTATGTTGCCTGTGTTGGATTAAGTATCTTTTTCCCTTTCTCTTTTTTCCTATTATCATTCTTCCATATTTGAGTTATTTCATGCTTTACATATATTTTGAGTTTTTCCTATAAAAGAAACCATGTGGTGTTTTAAGCTTTGGAGTACATGCGTTTTTCAATGTGCCTCCCCTCAAGAGGTGGAGCTTAACTCCTGTTTCCTTCGGTGTAAATTTTTGCAGTTCAGGCTGGCCTTGAATTCACTTTGTAGCCCAAACTGCCTTCAAATTTGCGGTGATCCTTCTATCTCAGTTTCCAAGTGCTGGGATTACAGGCAAGTGCCTCCAAACCTGGCTGACTGTAGTTACTTCTATCAGATGGAACATGTCAGAAGCTGGGGATGGCACTTCTGAAGCTAGGTCATTCGAAGATTGTGGCTTCTCTTTATGGATACATGCTGTCTCAGTCTGTCTGACCACTTGCTCTGGAGTTGGCACACTACTGGGGAAAGGGACCAACACCCACCAACAGCCTTGGAAGATGATCTTACCTCCCCTATTCTACTTAAGCCCCACTGAAGGACACTGCAAGTCTGGCTGACAACTGAGCTGCCAGCTTCTGAGTAACCATAAGAGATTGCTATACAATGACTACATTTGTATCCACAGGATCAGTGAGATAATGAATGTTTTAACAGCTAGATTTTGACATTATTTGTTATGCAGCAATAGATAATTAATAGGGAATAAAGTAGGCATGGTGGTGCATACCAGTAATCCCCCCTTGGGAGGTTGAGGCTGGAGGATTGCTATGACTTCAAGGCCAGCCTTGGCTACAAAGTCAGGTTTGGCCAGCCTGAACTAGATATTGAAATCCTATCTAAAAGCAAACAAAGAAAACAGAAAACAAAACAAAAAGACAGAGAATAGAGCTTAGAGCACTGACTCATACATTTGGCACAAAGATGTGTGGGACAGGGGGACAGACAGAAGAAGATGTATAGGTTTAGGACAACATGAACAACTGAATGGTAGCAGTGCCATTTATTGAATTGTGGACAGCCTGGGAAACATAATAAGTTAGGGAGGGGAATGGAAAGTTGTTTTTTTGGACATGTTTTCAAGAGATTATTAGTCACCTAGGTGGGAACCATTGTTTAGGATTAATTAAAACTAATTAAAACTAATTAAACCACTCCTTGCATCCAAGCTATTGTATCCAGTGACTCCTTCTCCATCTTCATTCATGACCACTCTCTTTCTTCAAATACTTTCCTCTCGGATTCTGTCTTCCTACTCTTTCTCAGATAGAACCTAGTGCTCTGTGATGTAAACCAGGGTGACTTAGTGGGTCACAGCTGGTGGCTGATCTGATCTGGAGAGTTCAGGGGATTTTATTCAGGTGTCTGGTTGCTTGGTGGAGACAGCCCGAAGGCTGGCCTCAATGGATCACCTTCCCCTCCCTGAGTTCCCAGTCTTTCGAATAGGTGCCCCAGTGATATTGTCAAACCTCTTACCCAGAAGCTCAAGATTGAAGAGCAAGTGTTCCAGGAGGAGCAAAGAAACTGAGCAGTGGTTAGAGTGTTGCAGAGTGTGGCTATGGTTTTTGCCTAGACACCCCTCCTCCTGCCTCATGCTCTCTTGGGCTTTTCCAGAGATGAAAAACTCTAGATTTGTGGTGCTGGGATTTGTGTGATGCTAGGATTAAGGATGCATGTTTGCTAAATCAATCCACTGATGGGTTTGGTACTGCCCTAATCTCAGCGATCTAGGTATGATAATCTCAGCAGTCTAGATATAGATAAGGACAGAAAGAGTGTTATCTCTCCTGCTTGTTGCTTTGCTTTCTATACGCCTTAACTGTTCTCTGCCAAGCCACCCTAACTTAGAGCTATCTGATTATGGACTGAGGTCTCTGCAACTATGAGTAAAATCAACCTTTCCTCCTTTGACTTTGAGGGTTGGGTATTTTGTCTCAGCAATGAGAGAAAAGAGACTAAGACAAGTGTGGAGTCAGACAAGGTTTCCCCAGAAAACTAGGGATAGCAGCAAAGACATGGCTATCTGACAGGAATAGTCTGGAAAAGAGGATGGGATGGACATTGCAGAAGAAAGAAGGCATGATTGGGATCAAAAGGAAAGGGACCCACAGCAAAGGACAAGCTGGCCCTTGGAAAGCAAGACATACTCCTTGGTAACTGGAGGGCAGAATGACTCAGGTGTGCGGAGGTGCTGCCTTCTACCTGCTGTCTTATTAGGAAGGTCTTCCCTGCGTCCCAATCTTCAAGGGTGTCTTCTGTACCCCATCTCCCTTCGCTGCTCTATTTTTGCACCCTAGCAGAGATGCACATTTACAACTCAAACACACACTGCTATAACAACCCTAGCATAGGTGGACGTCTATCACACACACACACACACACACACACACTCATATGCACGCAGTGCCCTAACCGTAGCATAGGTACACGTCTGTAACACACGCACTACCCTAGCGCTATCCACGCCTGAGGGTTTCACTTCACTGATGTTTGTATGCATATCCCTACTGGAAGAAGATAAGCTTGGTGGAGACTTTTACCAGATCTCCTTAGCATCTATAAGGCACCTGGCAGGTGGCAAGTTCAGTGTGGCCGAGAGGACTGAATGCGCAGAGGAGTGACACATTTGCATGAGCCGCATGCAGAAGTGGCGCTGAGAAAACGAGGAAGCGGGTGCAGTTCAGAGAGGGTTCGGTGACACCGGTGACACCGGGTGAGAGGCAGCCCAGGAGCACAGAGTTGGGTGCTAGGGGTTCCAACCGCGGTCCTCTCCAACCGCGGGCTCCTGAAGCGTCCCAGCCACTCGGAGCGGGACCTTTTGGGTGCCAAGTGGGCGCTCAGCACAGAGGGACTCTGCTTCCCCCTGGGGATGCCCTCCAACTCGCGTCACCTGCGCCCCTGGCAGGTCTTAGGCACCTGTTCTCCCTCTTCTGTCTGAAGTTTCAGGGTGCAGAAGGCGACACTGGCGAGGACCGCGGGCGGGTGGAGCCACACGGGGCGGGGTGGAGCCGCAGATTCTGGGTCCGCGCCGGCGGCCTCCTCACCACTCGCTCCTCGTCCGCGCCGCGAGCCATGGCCAAGCTGCTGCTGCTCACCCTCGTGGGGCTGGCGCTGGCGCTCCTCAGGGACCACCGCGCCTCCTACCAGTAAGTCGGGCGGTGGTCAGGGCGCCCCGCCAGTGCGGTCTCCAGGAGCGCAGCACCCGCAAAGGAGGGTCCGGGGAGGTGCGGGGCGCACAGCGTCCCCGGAGCTCCCTCGACGTCACCCAGTTTCCCGTGCCGCTTGAAACCCCGGGGTGACAGGCGAGAAAGAAGCCAGCCAGGGTTGTGAGGGCCGAGCTGTCCGCACACAGAGACTGACGTGCGGTGAGGACCTGCGTGCACTGGCTGCAGACCCACTTGTCAGTCTGGCGGACGAAGCCCCACAACCAACCCGGGGCCCTGGTGTCCGGCGGTTTAGGGACAGGAAACTCCCGTCTTGGCTGCCTAGCCCTGACTCATTCCTTGGAGGCGCTGCGGCGCACAGAAGACCTGCATGAGGATGGCCCAGGTACCTAGGAGCAGATGCCCCCGGGCCAGGGGGCTCTGTCGGGGAGGAGACAAACCCTGGCGTGTGCGCTTGGTGTCCCAAGCTGGGCTCTTCCCTCATGTGTGTGATCGTGGGCAAACCATTTTTTCTCCAAAACTTAGTGCTTCAGCAAACTGGGAACAGTAAAACACACTCATATCGGAGGCGCCTAACACTTCCAGGCTTCCCTTTAAGCCCGCTGGAGGGGAAGGGGTGTTTAAAGAGCAGATCAGAAGTTCCATGGTAACTTTTTCAGGGGTTCAAGGTCTAGAGATCATCCTACAAGATTTAATCGATAATGTTAGCTATTCTGAAGTCAAACATTAATACAAACACAACATTTTGGGCTTTTAAAAAAATTATATGCTCTTCTGGCCTAATTAGAAGTTGCCATTCTGAATAGGGTTTTAACACACTGTTGTAGTTTCTTTTTTTTTTCTAACTCCTATTTTGAAATCACAAAATATTAGAAAACAATCAGTTCATGATTTAGGCTCTTACATAATGGAAAAGTCACTGCAAATTTTCATTCATCGCAGTACTGTTTGTTGTCAGGAGAGAGTGTGCAGAGAGACTGAAGATGGGGACCAAGCCCCCTGGAGTCACCCACCCTGGTTCAGGAAAGGGAAGTCAGCCTACAGGGTGGAGGCGTAACACCTTGCTACTGGAAAGGGGATCTGGGCTGGCGGCTGGAGGAGCACTCAGGCACTCCCTGGCCACAGACACTACTGAACCTGATCAGCCTCTGTAAAGGGCCCCCAGATTCCACCATCACGCCTGTTAGAACTAGAACAAAATGTCCTGGTTGATCCGAAAAATAACTTTTATCCTCTTTTTTGGAGAGATGGCATTTACTTTTCAGGGAAGATCATGCACCTGCCCCAGGGAGAAGAGGGAAACAAAACAAGGCCACTTCCACACTGTGGCTGTATCCTTTGATCTGCAGAGATGGGGCAAATTGTGTAGCTTTCAGCAGAAGTGACTGGGCCTGGGCTGAGGGAGCTTGGAGAAACTCACAGCAGGTACCTGGAAGATTTCTGAGCCTGGAAGATGGAAACAGCAGAGAGGAAGAGTTGAGAATGATCTTGCATAGCAGCATCTACTGCACCAGCCCCGGAAGGTGCTGGGACAGCATCTGGAAGCCCCTGGGACAGTGGGACTCCAGGATGTAGTATGTGAGGAGGACCGGAAGGGGTGCTTTCCTAAATTGCCCATCATTATGCCAAGACTGCTGTGTTTCCCTTTTCTAGAAAGAAGGCACAATGCCAACCCCAACCCTTACCTGCATCTCTGCCATCCGGCGTCCACTTTAGGCCATGCACTGTGTGGGAGGTGGGTTGTGGTGGATTCCTGACCATCCCTTGGCCTAGTAGCATTTCAACAACTTTTCAGTTATTTTATCACTGTTATGGTTTAGGTCTGTGTCTTGATGTCCCCTCAAAGCCTCATAGGTGGAGCGTGGATCATGGGGCATGGTGCTTATGAGTGGACTGGGCCACTGATGAGTTCATAGCCAAATGTGCTGTTGGGAGGTGAAGCTTCGTCAGAGGAGGTAGGGGTACGGCCAGGAAGGTTCTGTTTTCTGCCTTCCTCCTTTGATGGCTCTCACTGCTTCCCACTGCCATGCTGTGGACTGTTTCTCCTCTGTGACTCCCCTCTGCCACGGCACCCTGCCTTGGAGTCAGCTGACTCCACAAACTGAGCCAAATAAACCTTTCCTCCCTTACGTGTCACTTTACCCCAAAGTAAGTTTTGGTTTTGTTCTCTTTCTCAAAACTGTGGGATAATCACACATATTACAGTACAATCTATACAAAATCTGGTACCTAATATGTGTGCTATAATTGTTTGCTTTGAAATTGCCATGTGAGATCTCAGAAACTCACTTGACTATTATCATCATACCTCCTTGAAACCCTGCACCAAGGGTCTCAACGACAAACAATGCTCAAGCCTCAGTTCCCTCACCCAGTGCATGCACAACACCTTTACAGTCTAATGCCCTAGCTGCAAGGCCATAAAACAAGCCAGGGACATCTGCAGAGCCTCCTCTCTTTGCAAGTGCCCCATTCCTTCAGGAAGTGCAGGAATCATCCGGATGTTGTAGGATGTAGTATTCACTCACCAATGCGGTGCACAGGGAGTAACAGGACCAAAAGCTGACAGCTTAACAACAGGGCATGAGCCCTGTTGGATACATATGTGAGATGTCCTGAGGGTCAATGGTGAGCTGGAGGAGATCAGCAAAGCTGCAGAAGGTCAGCAAGGGTCCTCTCCACAGAGAAGATGAAGAACATTCCAGATGGAGGGGAAATGTGAGGAAAGAAAAAGGGACAGGAAAGGGACAGAAGGAGTAGAGCCCTTACTGTTGTATACCTAATTTCGAATCCTGACTCTACCTTTTTAAATTAAGAGATCATGTAGAAATGAATTAGGATCTCTGCACCCCAGTTTTCTTACCAATAAGATAAGTGGGAATCTTGGACTCAAAGGCAGTTAAGGAAGATTAACTGAGGAAGTTTGTGTGGGAGCCTTAGCCTGGAGCCTGGCACATAGGAAGAATACTGAGTGATTGCAGAGGGACAGCCAGCAGACTGCCGAAGGCGCCTTAGCATGGAGTGTGGCTCCAGAGCAGAACCTGCTTCTGGTTGCGTAGTGCTGTCTTTCTGGCAGGGGCCCAGCGTGTATTTGCACAAAGTAGTTCACAGAAAAGGTCTTGTGGCTTCTAGACAGAGTTCAGAGGCTTGTGAACTGAGGACATAGTTCACTGAGCATTATCTCTCAGATCTGAAGCATTTGAACTTCATCAAGTCTCTAACAAAATACTTCCTGATAATTTGAGAACGTGTAGAAGAATATGCTCTGGATAAAGTAACACAGTATCAAGTGTCTGTTCCAACTGTTAAGCAATGGTATTCATAAGTTTTGCCCTGTAAAAGCATTCGATAGCAAACTTGCCTTCCTGTTGGTTCTGATTCCAGCCTAGCCACTTTGTCATAACTCTGTGGCTTAATCTCAGAAGCCCTCTTAAATTTAGTCATCTGTAATTAGGGCAAACAACGTCTCCAGGGGATGTTTGGAGGTTAACTGAAGGTATGCACAGCACCTAAGCTACAGGATCAATGTCAATGCATTGAGGACCATGAATTAGAACTCAAAGCAACTGGGTATGGACTGAATTCTTCTTTGCCTAGCTGGTCTCCTGTTCATTGTGATTATTCCACGAGGTTAGAGATCATCTTGCACAAGAGAGTTGCATGAATTAGAACAGGACCCCAGGAGCTCTGTCTTTCTCTATGAATAGATCACATTTAATGAGCTAGGCAGTGATCTTATTCTTTGTGTGACTTTGAGTGGGAGAAAATGGCTAATTTGGCTGTTTGGGGCATGCTATTCAAGTTTTGGTCCATTCAGAATTTTGCATCCTTGACTGCCTTTTTCCATGTCATTCTTTGCATTGTCTCTCATTATGATTTTAATTTACCATTAATACCTCATTCTAGTCCTTTGAGTTCCTTGGGGCAACTCTGTGAATATTCACTGCATCTTTGCTTGCATGGAGACTTTCATAATGGGGTGGTCATAATCCATTTAGTACATTATGACCAGAATTTTTAAATAAGTGAAGTAGAATTGAACAGAAAAGGTAAAAATATGACGCATAGATTAGGGTATTCTTTGTCGACCTGTTCCAGATGAAGGTGAGGGTATATGTGTGTGGTGCATGTGCATTTGTGCCGTTTAAAAAGCTTTTCCTAATGTGTTTCTCAGCCTAAAAGTCTGTGAACTGTTATTCTATAGTTTTCCTGTTCCTTTTTTGCAAATTTTTGTAATGATGCTATCAAACTTCCATTTTAGTGTCCCAGGCCATGTGGCAGGACCCGTTCCCTTGAAGTCTACCTTCTAAATTCACATCGCTTATCCCAAAAGCTACAAGCTCCTTCCAGACCAAACGTCTGTCCTCTGATGTTCATCTCTGTCTCTGATTCTCTGCTCATGTCTCTGACTGTTCATTAGGCCAATGAGGGTGCAAAATAGACCACCAGGCCAGCCCCACTACAACAGTGGAATTTCTGAATGAATTAATGAGTGCTCAGTGATAAATCAGGGTACTATAGTTTTCAATGTAGAGGTCTTTTACATCTTTCATTAGATTGATTCCCAGGTATTTTGTTTTTTGGGTGCTATTGTAAAAGATATTGATTTCTCTCTCAGTTAGTTTGTTATTTGTATACAAGGAGGCAATTGAGTTTTGAGTGTTGACTTTATAACCATGTGTATTACTAAATTTGCTTATTAAATCTAAAAGTCTTTTGTGGAGTCTTTAGAGTCTATGAAGAATATCATCTCATCTACAAATAAGGATAATTTAACTTCTTCCTTTCCTATCTTTATTCCTTTTATTTCTTTTTCTTGTCTAATTGCTCTGGCTAAAGTTTCCAGGATTATGTTGAATAGGAGTGGAGACAGTGGACATCCTTGTCTTGTTCTTGAGTTTAGAGTGAAAGCCTTCAATTTTTGCCCACTTAGTATGATGTTAGCTGTTGGTTTGTCATAGATGGCTTTTATCAGATTGAGATAAGGATTTTTCTTATGAATGAGTACTGGACTTTGTCAAAAGCTCTTTCTGCATCTATTGTGATGATCATATGATTTTTGTTCTTGGCTCTGTTAATATGATGTATTACGTTTATGGATTTATGTATGTTGAACCATCCCTGCATTCCTGGGATGAATCCCACTTGATCATAGTATACAATCTTCTTGAACAATTACTGCAATATGTTTGTCTTTATCCTATTGAGAATTTTTGCATCAATGTTCATTAAAGAGATTGCCTGTAATTCTCTTTCTTGGGTCCTCTTGGAATCAGAGCAATGCTTGCTTTCAGGAATAAATTTGGGAATAGTGCTTCTCTTTCAATTTCATTAGAGAGTTTGAGAAGTAGTCTTCACTAAATTTCTTATTGAAAACTATAGGACTCTGAAAAAGGAGATTTATGAGGATATTAGAAAATGGAGAGATATCCTGTGCTCTTGTATAGGAAGAGCCAATATAATGAAAATAGCAATAGTTTCAAAACTGCTATCTGATTCAATGCATTTCCAACAAAATTCCAAACAGCATATCTTACAGAATTAGAGAAAACAATCTTAAAATTCACCTGGAATCATAAGAGACCTAGAATAGCAAAACAGATTGTGAGCAACAAAGACTAGATAAGTGGCACCACATTGCCTGACTTGAAATTATACTATAAAGCTACTATGGTAAAAACAGACCTGAAGATGAGTGGAATAAATTAGAAGATGTAGAAATAACTGTAGAAAGACTAAGCTCCCTTCTCTTTAACAAAAGTGGCAAACACATTCACTGGAAAAGAGATAGTCTGTTTAATAAATAGTGCTGGAAAAACTGGCTCTCCACTTGCCAAAGATTAAAATTGGACCCCTACCTTTCACCATCATGCTAAGCTAAAATCAGAATGGATTAAAGATCACAATATTAAAATAGAAACATTACGGGGGCTGGGAATTTAGCTCAGCGGCATAAGTGCCTGCCTTGCAAGCAAGCAGTCATGAGTTCAATCCCCGGTACCGGTAAAAACAAAAAAGACAAAAAATAAAGAAAGGAAGAAAGAAAGAAAGAAAAAGAAAGAAAGAAAGAAAGAAAGAAAGAAAGAAAGAAAGAAAGAAAGAAAGAAAAGAAAGAAACATTACATCTGCTGGAAGATAAGACTTTCTGAATAAAACCCAGAATGCTCGAGACATCACAAAGAATCAACAAATGGGATCTTACCCTATTAAAAAGCTTTTGAACAGCAAGAGAAACCACCAATATAGTGAAGAGATGTTCCACTATGTGTTAGAAAATATTTGCCAGCCATTCCTCAGATAAAGGATTATTATTGAGAATGTATAAAGAACTAAAAAAAATCAATCCTCCCAGATTTAAAGACTCAACCCAAAAATGGGCATCTGAAATGAACACACACTTATCAGATGAAGTATAAACAGCAAATGAATATGTGAAAAAATGTTCAATGGCACTGGTGATTTGAGTGATGCAAATTAAAACAACACTGAGATTTCACCTCACCACAGAAACAATGGCTAGTATTAAGAAATCAACCAATAACAAATACTGGGTGGGCTGTGGGGGAAAAGGGACCTTTCTCCATTTTTGGTAGAAATGCAGTCTGGTCCAACCACTGTGGAAATCAGTGTGGAAATTCCTCATAAAACTAGTATTGAAGTTTTACTCAGTAGATCCAGGTATTCCTCTCCTGGGCATCTTCCCCCCAAAATTAAAAACATGACACCACAGCAATATATGTGAAACTATGTTTATAATAGCACAGTTTGTAATAGCCAGATCTTGGAAACAAACTAAATGTCCATCAACCGAGGAATAGATAAAAAAGATGTGATATCTCTATAAAATGGAATACTATGCAGCCATAAAGAATAATAAACTGAACTTTTTTTTTTTTTTTTTTTTTGGTACCAGTGATCGAACTCATTACTGTATACTTGCAAGGCAGGAGCTTATGCCACTGAGCTAAATCCCAGGCCCAAATTGAACATTTTTATAGGTAAATGGATGCACCTTGACAATATACTTATTAGTGAAATAAACATGTCACACATGTATAAACATCATACTGTTTCATTAGTATAATAAGGAAAAAACACGTATTTTTTTTTCCAGAGAGAGAATGACTTCAGCCAAGTAACAACTGAGGCCACACCTGCCTTTACTTTAACTAACCCACTGTGAGCCATTTTGAGTTGACTTTTGGATGTCTTAAGACATTTTGGATGTGTGCCAGTATGTTTACTGAGGGTACAGTCCTTTCTCCACTTAGTTCCTTTTGCATCTATTCCAGAAATCAATTGCCTGTTATGTGGGTATCTATTTTAGAAGTTTTTATTGATACTTTAATGATTTGTGTATCTTGATGTCAAAGCCGTTTTGTCATGATCGGTGTAACTTTGTGATAAGTCGTGGGACTGGGGAGGATTGGAGCTCTAGTTTTGTTCTTTTTTTATTTATTTAAAAGGAAAAAGAGGAAAACAACAGAAAAAAACAAAACAGTGTAAGGGTACAAGTAATACAGAGCTACAAAAAAAAAAAAAAAAACCAGTAAGATATCACCCATTAATAGATTACACACTATCATTTTTGAAATGGTTATTCAGGTCACAGGATCAAAGCATACAAAGTAAACATTCAAACAGTGAGACTGCAAATAGTTGTGTTCAATGATTTGACAGTTGTGTTCAAACCAAAATATTAATATGGTCATCTATTTACTACACCTAAACATGCTTGCTGTTGTATCCTTTAGGACACTTTTTTTTCCCCTCTCTTTATTACATCAAAATTTACAAATTTTGGGTTTTATTGCTCCCATAGATCTTATTACTTTGTTTTTGTAAGAGAATAAAATCAAGTTAATAGGAAATCAAAAAAGTTACTATAATATACCCTGCTAGTTTTTTTTTATTTTTTTCTCCTTAGTTTAAAAAAGAAAAATAAAAAAAATAATTTTTTAATGAATAAGGGAGCAATTGAGATAAAAGAGGGCTTAAAAACATAACAATACAGGTCAAAGCATGATAGTTTCTGCAACCTAGAGCTTCACTACCAAATAACCCGACTTAATAGTAGTTACCATAGTGTCTTTTTCCTTGAAATATTTGAATATAACTTCATATGCTATAGCATCAAACATATCAAGACAGTGTAACACCATTCAAGTGGATGAAAGCATTGTAGAGTATTTAGAATCAGCTAACAGAAAAATGAACAATGGTTTCTATATTCTCTTTGTCTATAACAATTTTTGTTTATACTACCACATACGATAAAATCCAGCAAGATACAACATGATAAAACCAATGGAGACAGAAGAGCCATAGTTTGGTGCAGCTTCAAAACAAGATGGTATTAAATCAGCACTAGCTATTATGGGGTCTTGTTTTTTTTTAATTAAAGTTGTTTAGACTATTCTGAGTCTTTTCTATTTTTACAGAAGAATCAAAATGTTAATCTTTATGGAAAATGATGGAAGTTTGATAAGGGATTGTGTTTTCCAATCTTAATTATTTTCTTGTACTTGTTTTTGGTCTTATTCTGTCTTTTTTTAACTTCTTAAGGAAAGATATGAAGATATTTCATAACTTTCTTCTTTTCTAATAAATGTACTTGGTGTTGAAAAACGATAAACCATTCACAGTTTGTAGCATGTTGATAAGAACTGTACACATATCTGATTACCTCCAGCCCTTCTCCTTCAGCGACACTAAATCCCCAAGAAGGCACATGAAGAATTCCTCAGCTTGTGTTTAGAAAGTAAGATTCCTAGGTGTTTTTAGAAATACATAGTTTGTTCTCTAAATTATATTTATTGTTTTGGCCTCTGTGCTAAACTGTGGTCTGGGTTTTTTTTTTTTTTTCCCCTGCTGGTATCTTCTTCTCACATTGTTCCTTTTTCCTTTGTTCTTCACCCAAAAACTTCCTCATGCTGTTTGTGTTCTCAGATTTAATAAGTTGACTGTGTATGTATGTGTGTGTGCACATGTGTCTGGGCATAGACATTGTATAATGTTTTTGTGTAGGCTGAATTTGTCTATGTTTTTCTGAAGCTTCAAATCCTTTAAACACATGTACATTTATAAGGACTACATCTAAAAGCAGGTGCACAGGCTGGACAGTAGAACCAGTCTGGTGAGATGATAGCAGGCCCAGTCCCTAGTAGCTCTAAAACATTAATGGCTAAATTGGAACCATGTTGCCATTTGACTCAACTTTCCACACTGGAGTCTCCACATGACTGATGAAATAGTTCCTACTCTTGCCTAAATTCACGTGGAAAGGACACTGTGTGTCTCTGCTGTGTAACTGTCCACCTTTGCACACAGGAGTCCTTACACAACCCATGTCCTCCCCCACTGGTCTTGCCCTGACCTTGCCTCCTAGCATTGCAGGTACCAGGACCACAAACTCTGGGGTTTAATCCAGGCAAAGCACACCTAAGGGAAATTTGCAGACTGCTTTACCTTTGTAACTTAATTCTGATTTCTAAACAGTGTCTGTTGCGTGTCATTTTCCCTTCTAGGAAACGAATGAATGCTTTTCGTGAAGTAACACCCATGGATCTTCCTAACTGTCATTTCATTAAGGGAATAAGTATGTATGAGAAGAGAAAATGTCTCATTTGAACTGAAAGTGTCTAATCTTGCTATTTATTTCATAAATATATCTGTTTAATTTTGTTCAAAAATACAACATAGAGCCAAGAGAGTATTATTAGTAGTAGTTAATTATAAATATCATAGTTTGATGTTTGACATCAACAAGATATTGAAAATGTGCAGGCAATTTTGATTATTTTGTGTTTGGTCAATAGTCAAAAACAGTAGTCAGAACAAGTCTTGATTTTACAGTAATATAACCAGAAGATGGCAAAAGACTAAAGGAAGGGGGAGATGAAGTATCCAGGAAAGAATACATTTAAAAAAAAAAAAGTTCTCACAGACCTTTGAAATTATTACAAGACTTTTGCTCATGAAGATTGGAGAGAAAAGTTTTTTTCCCAGAAGCTCTCAGTGGAGTTCTATTTAGGTTTCATTAGTCAGAGCTGGAAAATATGCTGATTCCTAGCTGCAAGGGAAGCTGGAAAAATCAGGATAGTCTCCTTTGTGGGATACCAGCCCTGTCAGCCAGGATGACAGAGCAGAACAGCAACCAACAGATACTGTTCCAAGGTTCAACTCCCCATTTAGTTTCAACCAGCCAGCCTTGTTATTTAAGAACAATTTGAGATATGTACTCTTGTTATGTGTTGGTTGGGTATTGTTTTTGTTTTTAGACATTGTTTCTCAGTTGACTATAGTGTAGAAGGCTGGCCCAGAGGACTCATCCAGTTATTCAATGACCAACATTATTTGAAAAGCACACACCTCTACTAAGAGTATGAATATAAAATCAATAGTTTATTCATCTCTAGTTTAACTGAAATTTTAGAAAATGTTTGCATATTTAAAGTATAACTAATTTGAAAGAGTAATATTTTGTTGATACGTATAATAGTCAATGAATTTTCTCAATCATCCACAATGTATCCACGTTTTAACTGAAGCATTTAGAATTTTCTTGTATTTCTAATATGGTTTTCAAAGTGTTCTACCTGCAACCTTTAAATATCAGTGTACATTTATGGTTTGCACTGCATCCCTAGAAAAACTGCAACCTCTTTTCAAATGATTGTACCTCTCCTGCATTTGTAAATTTCCATAAACTTTGTATCAACTATCAGTCTGAGGAAAAAGCTCTAGTCCATCAGCTTGAAACAAATCTATTAAATGTAAATTTTAATTACGCATGCTAACAATATTAATATGTTTAAAATTTCCGTATAATCACATCCATCAATTAGAAAAAATTACTCTGAATTTATGAAAGAAGAGTCCTGTTTCCAAGGTGGAGGGGATAAAAAAATGACTCTCCAGCTTCCTGCAAAACAGGAAACAATCTGTATTTTCTTTTTCCAACAGACTCAGGCGCTGAAGACCTGGAGATACTGCCAAATGGACTGGTTTTCATTAGTGCTGTGAGTGTTTTCTTTCCGTAATTTTGTTCTAGAACACTTTTGGAACAGGCGGTTTAAATCTTTTACCTAGGTCTTCTGTATACTCATGTCCACTTTCAATAAAGTGGGCAGTCATGCGCCTTTCCGGTGGGCTGGGAGCTGCGTCTCCTCCAGCCTTGCTGCAGGTAAAGGGAGGATTTGTGCAAGGATCTGCAGGAGTACCTGGTTGTCAGGGTCTCCTGTGGGCCTATGGCACCAGCAGCTAAGAGGCTTCTGCAGGCCAGGGACCAGCTCTGCGGCCACTGCCACTGACCTCTTCTCTCAGCCTTTGAAGTGACTGTGATGAGCCTGCCTTTTCTCCTTCTCCTTAAGGGATTAAAATATCCTGGAATACATAGTTTTGAACCTGATAAGCCAGGAAAAATACTCCTGATGGACCTGAATGAAGATGATCTTGCAGTGTTAGAGCTGAACATCACAGGATATAATTTCAATTTATCCTCCTTTAACCCTCATGGGATCAGCACTTTCACAGATAAAGGTAACAGTATTTATTGTTTATTAAAATACAATGGCAGATTAAAAATGAACCAAAGCACAAGATGAATAATATCCTTCTTTTGAGTTCTGAACTTACTCTCTCTGTTAATATTGAATATTGTGTCTCTGTTGATATTTAATATTTACTCTGCATAATATTTGAGTGACTTAAATGCTTGAGAATCCTTAAGGTTTGTAAAGCTTCCAATTTTATAAAACATAACATTCACATTGTCTCCATCATTACTATGATATTATTCATCCCTGCTCAATATAGACTTTCCACTTTAATCAACTTGAGGGAGCCAGGCATTTACAGGAATAAAATTTTCTCACCTACATGCTCTGTGACCTTTAGAAAGCACTCAGTGCCAGGAAGTCACCAAGATCTGTCCACGAACACCTATGCACACCCCTAATCCCAACCCCAGGGAGGCTGAGGCAGGAAAGGAAGTGACAGGAAGCCAGCCGCCCTGGGTAGCTCTCTCCCAGCCTTGCGGCGCCCTTGGCCTTCCTGCCTGCTCTTGCTGTGTTGTTTGCTCAGGCTAAGCCTCTTCCTTGTTGACACCTTTGGTAGCTGTCACTCACACCCTGTGTGCTTTTATCCCAGTTCTCTTTCCATGCGCTGTTATTCTCTATGTGTCCTTATTTTCCAAAATAAGTTTCAATCTTGGTTGCACACAGAAACACTCAGGAGTCTGAAAAATCCCAACACTCAGTGACTCTGCTTCCTGAGGACTGAGGGAGACCTGGGACCAGCACTCATTCAAAGTTGTCCAGATAAAAAGGTGCCAATGACAAAAGCACGGATACCCGTGACCTCTGTGTCCCTAGCAGACACCCCCCCCCATTCAGTCCCTTCCCAACTGTCCCTATTGTGGGGTGTGAAAATTTTTTATTAATACAGGGGATCAAACTCACGACCACGCTCTTGCAAGGCAGGCGCTTATGCTGCTGAGCTAAACCCCCAGACCCTGATTGCCTTCTCCTGCAGGACAATGCTCCCCGCTGATACCCCGTCTGCTTGCTGTTCTGGTTCCCACCCTACCACTGCTACTTTCTCCTGCTCATTCTTTTGTCACTCAGTGACAGTCTCCTGAGCCTTCTCCCTGAGGTGCAATTCAACCTTTTACCGCTTATTCCATGTCAGAAATTCCAAATCAGCGTCACTCTGCCTATATTCTGGAATATCCCCAAATATGAATTACTGGTATTGTTATCATTTCCTCATCAGTCCTTCAGCTCCATGACTGAAGATGCTTCTTTTAATGGTCTTCTACCATTCACCTATGCATTGTTATATTTTATTTTAAAAATATTTTCAAGTGCAAAGACATATACTGCTTGGTACGTGTCATAAAATGGAGTACTATTTTTAAAGATAAAATGGAGTAGTATTCTATAAACTCTTCCAACATTTGCTGTGGCATTAAAAACTACATAGAAGACCTCCTTTTGTGACACTGCCTTTTGGAGTCATTTCGCAATGGCTGTTACAGACTGTGCTGTGTGACAGCACCAGAGTAAAGTTCGTCTACTCACAGACAATGAAGTCTGGTCTGCTTTTATGCTTATTACGGTGCCAAACTACTTTGGTACATGGATCTTCTGTATTTCCTTAGAATAAATTTCTAGAATCAGAAGCTGTTGCACAAAAGCATGCATTCAGGCTTTAATCCCCATGTGAGGAACTTCTTTTTTTTTTTTAATGTTTTATTGTCTTAGTACATGTTTGCAGTTTACAGTGCTCTTGGGGACTGGTTCCATATAAACAGCATAATTTGTTTCTTCTTTTATAATCCTCTTCCCTCCATTCCTACGTCCTCCTCCAGTTTCTGTATTTCATTTTTCATTCTTGCTGAAATTATGAGTCTTAGCCCATTTTATGGCATATTATGTCTACATTTATTGAAGTTAGCAGGCTCCTGCACACAGCACACCTTCATTTCTGCTTCTCTCTCCTTCCCCTCTTCTCGCCTCTTGCCCTTGTTCCCTCTGACCCTTCCCTTTAGCAAGAGGTCCACCTCTTTACATCCTTCTATCCATACTTACTATTCTCTTTGTTTGTACTGCACTTTACTCAAATGAGAGATACCACACACTTTGTAAACTCATGTGTCCAGTTTATTTTACTCAACATTATATTTTCCAGGCGCATCCATTTTTCTATAACTATCCCATATCTGTCCTTTATAGCAGAGTAATATTGTATTATATATAGACACCATATTTTTCTTTACCCAGTCATCTATTTGTGGGCATGCAGTCTGTTTCCAGGTTTTAGGTACTATATGAGTTCGGCTGCCATGATCATTAGTATGTGAGCATTACTGTAGTATGATGTAGATGGCGTCTTCTTTGGGGAAGATATCTAGCAGGGGGATTTCGGGGTCATACGGAATTTCTAATTTCAGTTCTTTGAGAAATCTCCGTATTGATTTCCACAACGGTTGTACTAGTTTATATTCCTCCTAACAATGAAGGAGGATTCCTTTACCTCACAGCCTTGCCAGAATTTGTTACTGTTTAATTTCTTAATGGTGACCATTCTTTCTGGAGGAAGATGAAATCTTAATGTTGCTTTAATTTGGCCAGAGATGTTGAGCATTTTTTCCTATGTTCGTTGATCATTTGTATTTCTTCCTGTGTAAAGTGTCTGTTCATTTCTCTTGGCCATTTCTTGACTGAATTTTTAATTTTAGATGATTTAATCTTTTTAGTTCTTTGTGTATTCTAGATATGAGTCTCCTAAGGAGTAGCTGGAAAAAGTGTTCCCATTCTGTATGCTGTCCATTCACTCAACCGATTGCTTTTTTTCCATGGAGATATAATGCCATTTGTTGATTCTTACTGTGATTTCTGACAGGAGGAATCTTTTTGGTACTGGAGCTCGAGCTCATGATCTCACGCTTGCCAGGCGGGCGCTTACGCTGCTGAGCTAAATCCATGGCCTTACTGTTATTTCTTGTGCAACTGAGGTTCTGCTGAGAGACTATTTTCCTACGCTCATATCTTCAAGTGTTTAACCTTTTTCTTCTAGGAGGTTCATTTTTTTCAAAAAACTTTTTTCCAGGAGGTTTAATATCTCTATTTTAATTTATATTTTGTATTTTTGATCCATTTGGATTTTAATTTAGTATATGGGGGAAAATGAGGGTCCAGATTCAATCTTCTGCAAACAGAAAACCAGTTTGCCTCGCGCTGCTTGTGGAGTGTGCTCTTTCCTCCAACATATGCTTTTGCCCCTTTTGTTGAAGATTGAAACAAAAGCTTCAGTGTCTGGGGGAAGTTGCTCAGTCTGTTCCATTGATCCATGTGTCTGATTTTGTTTCAATACCATCCTGTGTTATCACTGTTGCTTTGTAGAACAGCTTGAAGTCAGGCCTTGCTTTCTCACCTACTTTGCTCCTTTGCCCAAGATTGTCCTTCTGTGTCACTTCTGCTTTCCTATGAATTTTAGGACTGCTTTCTCTACATCAGTAAAGTATGCTGTTGGTATTTTGACTTGAACAGCATTGAATCTGCATAACAATTTTGGAAAAGGAGTAAAATAGTGGAATAAAAGTGTGGGGGGAAATGTACAGAAGAGGACAAGAGCAAAGAACTTTTAAAAAGCAAAATAAAAATAAAAATGAAACACTAGTACAATCAAATAAATACTAAAAGAAGTTTGCATTGTTTTGCACGGGGGGCCCTTTCCTCTGCCCAGGGTCAGGGTGCGCGCTCAGGCAGGAGGCCTCTCTGCCCAACTGGAGGTCCCTGTGCAGCCGCCACAGCACACGGTGGGGACCCAGCCGGCCTGAGCTCCAGTGCTCACAGCCAGGCTGTACCTGGCCTCCTAGTGGGAGCCTGGCTGTGCTCCCCAGGGCTGCCTTTCAGCTGCTCCCCACCTGCCGCGTCTCCCGCACCGTCCTGCCCTCATCCACTCTGGGAACTCGCGGTGTGAGTGGCCAATGGCCGCTCTGGGACCCAACTTCACCCTCTCAACCTGCCCCACAGTGGGGTTCCACCGCCTCCTGTTCCTGCTCCTGCTCCCTGGTTGTAGCTGTGGCCTTTTTTTACCAAGGTCACTCATGCATTGCTGACTGTGGAAGGTCACTCTGGGAGCAGAGTCCTCCATTTCCCTGGCTGGTTCTAACTGCAGGCGATTGATTCCCTTGGTCCCCTGCCAGTTCTCTGGTTCTCCATGAGCAAATTGTTAGTTTCATTTTGTCTCCTAGCTGGTGGCTGGCCAGCCACTCTGGTGGCGCTGCTGTGGCCTGATCTGTTTCTCCTGTATCACTTAATCCTATCTGCTTGTCTTCTGTCAGTTCCCTGGTGGGTCCTGTGTAACGTGCACTTACTTGGTTTCTCTCCAAGCTAGTTTCCCAGACTCTAGACACCTTCCTGGAGAAGCTGAGTTGCTGGCACTCACTGCCCCAGCACCTGGGGACTCTTGTGCTGAGCTCCTGACTCCCTCAGGCCTCAGCCGTCACCAGGGCCTTTCAGTGCTTCGGGCCAAATGGGCCAACACTGATCCTGTCCTTTTGTTGTCAGCATCATCCTCCCCCGTCCTGTCCCTCTCCTTCTCCCAGTTTTGTTTTCCCCAAGCGCTGAGCACCACCTAAAATAAACTTGTTGGTTGGCTAGGTTCATCAAAAGCTTCTTAGCCGGCTTCTGTGTTCAGGCCTCTTCAGTTCAACCACCCCACCTCCCCCAGCTGCACCTCTCATCATTGGCCATCAAACACCAATGGATCATGTCAGATTTACCCTCTCAGGACAGAGACTGTCATCTTGCATCACTTGCTAAGCTCCGCCCACACCTTTTTGACCAATTTGCTCTGTGTTCTAAAGTTTCACCGGCCCATGGAAGCTCTTCCATTTGCTCTTCTTCAGATGTTTTTCGGGTGGGATCTGTCCTCTAATCCCATGTAAATTACATCCTTCTATTAGCACTTGCCACATCTTTATCCTTTTGTCTGCACCCTGCATCCTGTGGAGACCATTTGAACTAGAAAGCCTCACCAGTTCTATGACAACTGTATGAGTGACACTCATTCTAAAGTTGAGGATATTTTTCCTCCTGTGGAGTTTTGAGTTTTTAGAGTCTGTCACCCATCCTTTAGCCATTTTTCTTTGGCTCAATCACAAATGCTTCTCTGTACAAAGAAATGAAAATATTCCATCTGCTTGACATGCTAAGTACTCATTGGAGATGGGTTGAAATTGCTTTTTGGAGACAGAGCTGACAGCTGAGAGCTCAGTTAATGCTTCGATTTTTGTTTTTGATCTCCTCTTAGATAATGCTGTCTACCTGCTGGTGGTAAACCATCCAGATATCATGGTTACAGTGGAGTTGTTTAAGTTTCAAGAAAGAGAAAAATCGCTTTTGCACCTGAAAACCATTAGACACAAACTTCTGAGTAGGTAATGAGATATAGCATATTTCTGTTTTCTTTTAGCAGCAATGGATGTTTTATCCGTGTTTAGCTTTTCATTTTGTGTAGGGCAGGTTCAACTCCCCTTTCTGATGATCACAAATTCCTCCAAATGTTCTTATACAAAAACTTCTGAGGACTTGGTCCGTCCTCAGAGAACACCCATTCTCTACCTCATATCTGAGGTCAGTCAGATGCTATTTCACGGCTGCTCAACTCAGGATCTTCAAGCAAACTTTTAGTAAGGAAATGTTCAGCTCGAAGACCAGACTCCGTAACTCAAACATAAATAGTTTTAATAGATGAGTTTTGAGCTTCTTTATTTCTATTTGTATTAAAATCATAGATGTTACAGTAAATTCACAGAAGATTCCAAGACAACTGAAAACCCAGTGTATCTAAGTCCTCCTGTACTGTCTTCACTGCTACTAGGTTGCAATAATTTATGTGAAACCAGGATTCGGAAAATACTAAGTTGCATACTGGACTCCTGGACAATTTGACATATGGGGAAAGAAAATCCCCATGATCTGTCATCCTGGTCAACCCAAAACAAAATCAACTTCCTCACTCCCCTATGAAGATTTAGTTTGTAGGACTAATGATGAATTTAGGAATATAATTTGACACTATCTTCCAAAATGTTTGTCTCCTCATTGTTTTCACTTGCTGGAACCCCAAATTCTAAGGGTGTAATTTTAAGGACAGCATTCAAGCACCCCAGTATTTTTCAAGCTAGATTTGCTCCTTTTGCAGGAATCTAGTGATGGTATATCCACCCCATTACCCGTGCCCTTCCTCTCCTTTCTTACCTGGTGGTGCTCAGGTAAGGAAGGTGAGATTGGAAAGAAATTGAGCTATTGGATCAAGGTCAACTAATTTGTGGTCCAAGTAATATCCAGGGCTTCCTGCACCCCATGATGAGTAAAAGTTTAGAGAAGAGATTGGGGTAGAAGAGTTTATCCATATACTCAACAAATATATTTTAGAGAAACAATGAGGTCACTGAGTGTTTGAGTGATATAAAGAATGCTAAGATCTAAAATAGGGTAAAATATGTAGGATGGAGAAGCTGGACATGACGATGATGGTGGTGATGATGGTGGTGGTGATCAGTAGTAGTAAAAGTGATAGTTGTTGATGAGTTTTGGTTCTAAATCAGTGACCGTACTAAATTTAAACAAACTATTTTAATGACTTTTTACAAATTCCATCTTAGTTGGTTGTTGCTTTTATGCCCATCGTAGATTTATAAAAATCTGAAGCCTGGAATGTTTGTTAAGGTGCCTCAGGTGACACCATCAGTAAATAGTATAGCTAGGATTTTTAATCCTGGCAGCTTGAGTTCAGAGTGAAAATTTATTTATCTTTTTCACCATTTAATCTTGGAAGCCTGAGTTTTGTCTAATTTCCGAGAAGTAGAGGATGTTTTTCAGGGCAAGTTACAAAATTATTGGTCGTTGGCAGCATGGAACCAGGTTAAAAGTAACCATAGTGCCATAAATAACAAGAATGTGTGTCTCTAGACCCAAGGATTAGCCATGTGTATTTCGTTTTGTTTTGGAAGTAATGACTGTTTATTTTATTAATATTTCAATTCCTATATTTATTATAATTCAAGTATGTTACTATTAATTGTATCACAAGGGTGATTATAGGTCACTGGCTGCACGCCAAGCGTGGTGCCCAGGTCTTCAATCACAAGGTTTCATCTTCTGCTTGCCCCAGTCTTCTGAGGTCTAGAGAGAAGACTCCAGTCAGGAAAGCAGCTCCAAGTTTAGTGACATGCTATGGCCCCACGCTGTGAGAGGAGCAACAGTGTCAGGATTCAAAGGCTGCCCATCAGATTTCAGAGCTATTGCTTTAAACCATCCCACTCTGCTCCTTTTTTAATGAAAAAACAGGCAAACGATAGTGAAGCAAACACATTTTAGCAATGTGCTTTTGAAAAAGAAAGTAAAACCAGCACACAGATTTGTATCTTGGCTCTGTAACCCTCACTCCTAAGGCCTTTTTTTCTGTAGTAATAGTGGCGTCCATTGATTGAGGATTTATTGTCAGGCTCCCTGCAAAGCACACAGCAGGAATTGCCTCATTGGAATTCCTGCTGCAATGCCACAAATTAAGATTCTGACCCTTAGCCTTTCACTAATGAGCTGTATAATTTTGGGAAAATCATTTAACCTCTCTTTGCAGATGAGAAAACTGAGGCTCTGCATGTTTCTCTCTTGCCCAAGAGCCCAGCACTGCGTCAGAGCTGATGCACAGGCCATTACACATGCTGCAGCACAGAAAAGATAATTTTCTCCCAGATCATGGCCCCAGGGAACTTCCATCACCTCAATCAGCAAGGAATGACTCACTTATGTGTTTGCTATTGTACCTATTAAAGCAGAAAAATAGACCCATATATCTTACATTTTTCAGAACACAAAAAGAATTCTAATCAGAGAGAGAAAAGGCCAGGCAATCTATTTCAGGACATACTTGTTCATGGACATCTTATTCAGTTTAGAATCACGAAACTTTAAGGCTGGAATATGGACTAGCTTATCATCTTCCTTTCACAGATAAGGAAACTGAGGCCCTGAGATATGAGGGGATTGAGTGTCTCTAGATCACATAGTTAATAGTAGCTAAGCTTTAACTAAAACACAAGTCTCCAAGCTGCCAGTTCGATGTTTTTCCCACTGACTTCTTCCTTAGGCTGGCAGTAGTGAGTTCTGTTGAGCATGCACTCACCCTGCTCTGACTGCTGTCCTCATATAATGGCTAAAGAATTCAGGGTATCTACACACACGCATGCACATGGATGAGCATGCACACCCCGTCCCATTATCACCTTACTTTTAAGGCATAGTTGATAGGATTATTATATTACTCTGCTATAATCACTCTTTAAGATTTTTTAAAATCTTTGAGGATTGGCTAGATAGGACTGATTTCATATTAATTCTATGTCTTTAGACCTAGTATGATATCTCCATTGCAATCTTGATTTTTGGGTTAGATGTGAATGAAAGCCAATTCATAATCTTGAGATGTACACTGTATGTACTCTTTGTGTTTTAATTGTAGTGCTAATGATATTGTTGCTGTAGCACCAGAGCACTTTTATGCCACAAATGATCACTATTTTGCTGACACACAGTTACAATCCTGGGAGGTCTACTCGGGTGTAGCATGGTCATATGCTACTTACTACAGTCCAGAGAATGTTCGAGTGGTGGCGAAAGGATTTGATTTTGCAAATGGAATCAACATCTCACCTGATGGCAAGTATGTATGCTCTTTAAAATGTAATGGATTTATTCAAGTTCTTAGTAGATAACTTTAGAACATGACTTTTTTGTTAAGTAATACAATATACTTTTAATATGTAATCTTCGATGAAGTTAGGAGAAATGTAAAAATCTTAATTTTTCAGGGAGTAAGATTGATCACATTCAATATTTCTATTTTTGTGAAAATATCCTGAGCTTTCATTCGAGGAAAAAAATTTCAAGAGGAAAAATTGTAATAAACATTTAGTATTGTCAAACAAATGTGTTTTGAAGGAATACTGTTGTGTATAATGAGATTAGTATCTATCTGCCTATCATCTATCTATAGTGTTGGTTTATGTCAAGATAAAGAGCTTATTATCAAAATGTAAATCAAAACACTCTTCCTCCAAGTAAAGCTTACTATGAAAAAAAGTCAGTTTCACTCAGCAGTGTGCTTAGTGATGTGGGTGATTTATAGTATTTGTTATCTGTTTGTAGTCTGGGAACCACACGTTGGGTGGCCTTTTATAGGTATAATATCTATATGCCTAATTATCCATCCTCTTCCTTATCTCAAATCATCAAAGATTTCAGAGCAGTAGTGACATACACTTAAAAAATTAAACGTACTGCTTTCAATTCTGCATATTGGCCCTTGCTCTTTGACAATAAAAAAGAGTCAGGCCATCATTTCTCCTCTGTTCAAGGACACACTGTCCACCCCAGGCATCTTCCGGATGTGTAGTAATGTACCCTGCACAAAATATGAAATCCACAAGACAGGGACTAAGCTCAGGACAGGAGGGGAAGAAGACTCCTTTGTTCCAAGCCATGCACTGATCCCTTATATTTTCAACTGACCTAAAACAAGAGACTGTTATCAAGGGCCATTTGTGCAGCCACCCTGAGAGACAGCTCACTTTCCTCTGGTGTGCAGGAGTGTGGTGGTGGGGCCTTGACCCTGTATTGACAAAGCAAGATATAAAGAGCTGGAGCTAAGTTCCTTCCCTGCTGATCAGGAATAAGAAGATTCCCACCATAAGAAATAACTTTTCAGCCATTAAACTCCTTTGTGCATTGCAAACCCATCAAGCTTGTTCAGAAATTTGTGTGCTTTGAGATAGATTCCATTTTTCAGTCTCCAAACAAAGTCCCTCCATAGGAAGAGTTATTGCAACTCACCATAACCTTTCGAATTGCATTTCTTCCGGTGCTTTGATGTAGCTCTTGCTTCTTTAAAGGTATGTCTATATAGCTGAGTTGCTGGCTCATAAGATCCATGTGTATGAAAAGCAGGCTAATTGGACTTTAACTCCAGTGAAGGTAAGATGTATTAACTCTATAAGTTTGCAAAGTGATAATTAGTTTCTAATTGATTTGTGAAATTAAAAGCAGGGAAAAAAGAATAGTCTAATTGGAACAGGCGAGAACCAATTTTTCACTCCTTTGTTGAGTTGCCAGCATCGTTACGTGTTTGTTGTCCACTTTTGCTCACCTGAGGAGTGGCAAGCAGCACAACACTCATCTCACCTGTGGAACGTCGATGCTTTCTGCTCCGGTGAATTTTAACTTTTGATTGTGTTCCCAGGTCCTTTCTCACCCCCTGCTCCTTTTCTTTTTTCCTCTGGCTGATAAACCTAATAAATAGCCTCAACTTGTATGTAAAACAGATCTTCTGTTAGTATAAAGACCACATGCTCACAATGCTATGGTGAGAGATGCAAGCACTCTGCTTGCATCTCATATCATTGTGCCTCCCTGCCTTGGGTACGTGGTCCTGCTCCAGGGGGTGCAAAGTTCCCTCTGCTTTTTTTGGTACTAGGGATCGAACTCATGGCCTTGTGCTTGCCAGGAAAGTGCTTACACCGCTGTGCCAAATCCCTGGCCCCCTCTGCTCTTTTCCACCTCTTTCCAGGCTCTGCTGAAATGTACCTGAGCGAGACCTTCTGCACTACTTGATCTACTTGGAGCGCTGCTCTCCTGCCCTGAGTGGTTCCTCTCATTTTATTGCTTCCTTTTGCTTTTGGCCAACATCCTATATATTTATGACTTCTTTATGATCTGACTTCCCAACTAGGGTATAGGCTTCACCAGGACAGATTTTCTTCCCAAAGCCTAGTAGCCATTCACCAAATATTTGTTAAATTAATAAAGTGAGGTTTGAATGGGTATGCACTGGGGCTCATCTTCTGCATCCACCAGTTCTGGTCCAGGATGAAGGCTCAGTCAAAAGGAATGAAAAAAGGAGAGGACAGGAAGGCATGGGAGGGAGAAGGGGGATAGACTAACAGCAAAGACTGGGAGGAGACTGAAAGTGTCCCTCATCCCAGAAACCATAAGACAGCACGCTCTTGTGACACAGGCCTACAGCATGAAGCACTGTACCACCATTGCACCACTGTTCCCATCAGCGTGTCCGAGGTGCTGTCATGATGCTCTCACTTGGACCTCTACCTTGAAGCAAGAGCAGTGTACCATCATGTTTGACATTAAAGATCATTCCAGACTAGAGTGGTGTTATCTGAAATAAAATAGAATTTCACACTCAGACTCACTGGAGAAAAAAATCAACCAGGGTTGTAATGAAATGTACTTCAGTAAAAGGAAAATAAAAGCATTCTATAATAGAAGCCAACCTAACATACACTCAGCCCTGGGTATCAGGGATCTATTCCTGCCCAGGCAAGGTGGACAGCAAGGCTGGTTTCAGACTTGGCTTCCACTTCTGGCAAGAGACCATGCCTATCTCCCATCATAACACCCAACTTAGTAGAGGACATTCCTTCATGTGTTTCTTCTTCTTCTTCTTCTTCTTCTTCTTCTTCTTCTTCTTCTTCTTCTTCTTCTTCTTCTTCTTCTTCTTCTTCTTCTTCTTCTTCCTCCTCCTCCTCCTCCTCCTCCTCCTCCTCCTCCTCTTTCTCCTCCTCCTCCTTCTCCTCTTTCTCCTCCTCCTCCTTCTTCTTCTTCATTTTTTGAAAGATCATATGAATTAAATACCACAAAGTACCAACAAAATAGCTAAAATAGTTGAGGTTGATTGTAAAATTTGTGATGCCATATGGGTCAGTTTGTGTCTTGCCCAAATATGCAGATCCTACCCAATGGAATGTTAGCCTCAGAGAGGAAAGATAGCCTAATATATGCTTTCACATGGATACATGCTTCCACCTGCATACATGCTTCTGCATGGATACATGCCACCACTTGGATGTTAAGTGAAAATGATCAGACACAAAAGGACAAATATTTTGATTTTACTTACCTGAAGTACAGAGAATAGGCAAATTCATAGAAACAAGAAGTAGAAGTGTGGTTACCAGGGACGGGGGAAAAGGAGAGTGAGGAATGTGTTTAAAGGGTATAGAGTTTCTAAACAGAAATGATTCAAATGGGATCATTAAAAATTCTACAGGTAGATAGTGGTGTTGATAAGTGCACACAATATGACAACATTGTGAGTGTACTTTTTTGGAGATATGAGACATTGTTCTTTTTTAGCATTAATTTTCATTTTATTAGCACATGTTTACAGTACATTATTGAATTCACCGGGGGAGTTTGTACATGTAACATAACCACTTTATTTCCTTTTTTCACCCTCTTTTCCTCTTTCTCCTTCCATTTCATGGTCTTTTTTGGTTCTGCAAAAGACCTATCTCCATATTGCTTATCTTCTACTTTTTATTTTACTCTTTATTTATGTTTTGAGTCTCTCATATAAGAGATACCATGCAATATTTAAGATTTCATGACTTACCTCCCCCATAGCATGATCTTATGGTATATTACTAAAAATGACTTAAATTTATTCTTCTCTCAGAGTAGCACTCCATTTTGTAAATGTCCTTAGAGTTAGTGTCATTGACATGTATATGTAAAACTGGCTAAGATGACAAATTTTGTTTTATATATTTTGCCACACTCTCTCTCTCTCTCTCTCAAAAAGATTTAGTCAATTATTCCAACAGTTCAATGAATCTGTCACACTTCAGTGAGGTTTATTTCTCTCAAAATTGGGATATTTGTTAACAGAGAATACAGTTTTTCCCATAGAGAGTATTTGATTATGTTTTTCTGACCAAGGAATGAAAAATCTTTCACTTCTTGTGATGGGAGTGGGGTCTGTGTTGCACAGGCCACTATAATGCATCAGCATGCCAGTGAGTGACATATTTGGAAGACAAGCATCCTAGTTACTCTTCCAATGCTGAGACAAAACACCTGACACCTAAAGGTAAAGGAATAAAGGTTTATTTAGATCACAGTTTGTAGAGGTTTTACTCCATCATCAACTGGCTCCAAGGCAGTGTGGCATATGGCAGAGGGACATTGCAGGGGAGAGAAAAACAGTTCATGATGTGGAAGGCAGAAGGCAGAAGCAGCAAACACAGCAAGCAGCAAGTGACAATAGCATTCCTCTTTCTGTCCCTCAAATTCTATCCAGGTTGTAAGATCTTAGGTCAGGTCCCATTATCTACACTCTGAACTATACCAAACCAATCAATAGATTAATATAATAATCAAAGTCACTTAATTCCAGCATCATACATTCTAGATCCGCCACCTCTGAAAAGTCCCCCTATGAGAGCATAAGCCTTTGGGGAGGACATCTAGATACAAACCTTAACAGCAGGAGTTCATTTCTAGACTCAGAATTGGCTCCCTGCTGATGATTGACTCTTCTTTTGTGGGAACTACACATGCTGGTGATCAAAGAGCTCAGTAATTGTGTGTTAGGTGGTGTGACCCCAGGCTTCTGTGTCCTCCCAGCCCCACTTCCAACTCTCATGTCAACTGGCTTTCATCCACCATGGAATTCACCCATTGGCGGCACAACTTCCAAAGGAAACAGCGGACCACTCATTTCTTCACTTAAAGAAGCTTGTCACAGTGGACTAGGAGCTGACCATGGGAAGGATGGTGGTTTCAAGGCTGCAGAAAGCCAGAGCTAATATGGAGGCTTGCTTGGTTGCCTCCTTTGGCCAGCCTGGTCTGTTTCTAGGCTAAGGCATGACAGCCCTGCGTGACAGTGAGATTGAGGCTCTGTCATGTGGATTGAGCCCTTGAATCCCCGTAGAGATGAAGGGATGACTCTCATTTTTTAGTAGGAAGCAAATGGCAGCTACCTGCTCATTCTCTGGCCTTTGCAGTGCACCATGGCTGGTTATTTACTGGGGCTCTGAGCTTCTAGGTAGGCTGAACTCTGAAGTACACAGTAGATGTTGTTTCTCCAATGAGAGTTAGAGGTAAACAAATAGATGGGATTTCTTTCCAGGAGAAAGCAGCCAAAATGATGAATGGTGGAATTAAGAATCATTTGTATTATTTATGATCCTGGTGCAAACCCTCAACAGCAATCTGTGCAGTCATTGCATGCTTGCAACTTATATTTAGATAATAAATAGCAGAAGAACAGGGAGTTGAATAGCATCAGAAAACTGAAAAACAAACTGAGAGGCAGAAATTAGACCCTGGGTGATCATTTCTTCTCTGGCTGCACAGCCTTTGATTAGCCATGAAACAATTCACATTTCATCTGCGTTCTCATCAGAAACAAATCTATATTTCTTGGTTGTTTGCCAAATGTTTGTGAAAATCTCATTTGCATATGAGGTTTCAGAAACAACCATTTTGTGCTGCACTTAATTTTTTTACAGATTTAGGCTCACACAGATGTGTACAGATGTTAGTACACATGTGTTCACTCAGCTTTTAAATATCTTTCTTTGTTTCCCAAACACACACTCCCCATTTGTCATGGAATCTGACAAAATACTCGAGTAAGTGAAAGGTCAGAGGGATCCCTGAGTGCTCCTGAAAGGGGGGGGGGATTTTATCCTTGGAAGCAGGGGAGAGGTGACCAAGCACAGGAGAGCCTCCCTGACAAATTGCTACGTCACTTCACAAATTTTCCTTTCTTTGGTTCTCTCCTTGTATTTAATCTCGGAAGTCGCTCGACTTAGACACGCTTGTGGATAACATATCTGTGGATCCTGTGACAGGGGACCTTTGGGTTGGTTGCCATCCCAATGGCATGAAGATCTTCTCCTATGACCCAGACAATCCTCCTGCTTCAGAGGTTCGTGTGGCCAGTGACCCAAGTCACTGGGTGTATTTCTAACTATTGTTTTTCTGCCAAAATACAATTCTCATCTCTGCCCTCTCAATAAAAGAGGGGACATGGATAAGACGATCCAGATGGTTAGAAACAAAAAGAAATTATGGAGGTATTTTAGTCAGAGACTAAGTAGAAAATGGATGATGCATTTGAACTGGGTAAACTGAGGGATGTTTAATAAAGGGGTTACCTACAAAGACATGGACACAATGTAGGGATATCAACCAGGGACAATGCAGAGTAACCCAGCAGTGGTAACAAGGGGACAGGAAGTGACTACTGAGTAGGACTGAGGAGGAATGTGGCTCAGTGGGAGAGCACTTGCCTACCCTGTGTGAGGCTCTGGGCTCAATCCCTGACACTAAAAATAAGTAGGGAGAGAGAGAGTGGAGTGTGGAGAGGGCCCCTCTGAGAGGAGTCCGGCCCCTGGTTGAAGGATGTAGCTAACCAGTGGTGACACTCCCGAGGATGCAGGCTAGAGCCTAATTACCTGTGTTAGTCACTTAGTTTCATGTTGATGAGACATGATACCTGACACAGACAACTAAAAGGAGAAGTTTAATGTGGCTCACAGTTCTAGTCCTTGCTAGCCTGGTTGCAAGTCAGAGGCATCATGGCAGAAGGATGTGGTGAAACAAAACTGCCCGGTTCATAGGACCAGGAAGTGGGAAGTGAAGGGAGGAGAGAGGAGAGGACTCTCCTGACCAGGCTCCCCCCAACCCACCCAGCACATTCAGCTAGGAATCCACCGATGGATGCAGGACCCCAGTGATCCAATCACCTTCTCAAAGCCACACCTCTGAACATGAGAATCTTGGTGGACATTTCAGTTCTAAGCTGTAACCTGCCCTGACTCTCTCTCAGTTTTTCCCTTTCTACTGCCAGAGGCAGAGAACTGCAAGTTCCCCCTCTTCCAAACAACAACAACAAACAAACAAACAAACAAACAACAAAACAGTAGGCCTTGGTGCAATGTCCAGCACCACATGTGGTCCCTACCTTTTATTTCAGTAGTGAAATTCTCTGCCATACCAGCTCAGAGTTTTTAAAAAACGATGTAATGATGCCATGCTGCTGTGTTTTAACTGCCATGTGTGACTGGCTTTCCTGTTACAACTCCTCTTCTGGGATTCAGGGGAGTCACCTGTATCTGTGGTGGTTTGGTTCCAGGACTCCTTCATGATGACAAAATCCACAGTACCTATGTAACATGGTGTAGTATTGGCATAAAACTCACACACATCCTCCTGTCTATTTTAATCATGCTAGGTTACTTACAATACTTAACACTATATACATGCAATTAACACTGTTATGCTGTGTAGTTCTGTATCATTTAGGGAACAATGAGAAGAACAAAGGTGTTCTGTAGAGATGTAATTTTTTTCTCAAATACTTTTTCTTTTGTGGCTGTTTAGATCTGCAGATGTGAAACTTTTGGATACAGAAAGCTATGTATGTACAAATCAGTACCAGGGAACAGTCTTAAAGCAAAATTGGCCATTCTCTGTAGACAATTTCTGAAAAATGGAGAGTAAATCTACTTTATGGAATTTATTTTGGCTTAGAAAAATTCAATTTTCACCTTAGTTATAGTTCTATTCAAAGATCCCATTTTGAGTTCATGGTCTTTATGTAACAGATTACTTTGTAGGATGAATAAGAATTTGAAACTCAGAATGCCATAGACATTTGAATGTTCACTATGATTTACTAGGATTTCCTATTTTGAATTTCCATTGTGTACTAATTGAACTTGTTATTTACATCAAATGCATAACATTTTTTATATTTTTTTTTACTGCTGGGTATTTTTAAAGTTGTCTTAATTCATTATTTGCCCAAAAGGAAAGGAATATCAAAGACCATGTCTCTTGAATAAAAAAATCAAACAGATATATTTAGTTAAATTATTGTCCTCATGTCTTTCTTACCTAGGTTTACAGAAAATTGTGCTCATGTTTAATGAGAATTCTTTGTGCTTTTTTGCTAGTTTTTAGTTTTTGGAATTGCCAAACAGTTGTTTAAGAAAACTGGAGAAATTTATGTCACACAGTATTCATGGTTCAGAACTGAGCAGAATGTTAGAGTCTAATTTGTCCTTGTTCCTTAGCTCATTTGGTGAGCTTGAGTCATTTACTATAACACGAACTTACTTTGTTGTTCTGGAAAAAACATGTCCTTTCTAGTGATGGATCTGGTAAGGAGCAGCAAAAAGTAATAAGAATCCATTATCTAATGCTCTGACCCATAAAAGAGTGAATTAGTTTTATTACCAGGAGTCTTAGTTAAGCCAAGGTACACTGTCATCTATTTCCCTGTAAGGAATTGCTACATGCTAACATTCTAGCAGTTTCTTAAGAAATGTGTCTTTGGTGTCAGCTGCTACAAAGAGGTCACTTTAAATGGCTCACTGGCCTTCCCTAGCTGCCGTGTTTGTGTTTTGTGATGTAGGTATCCTTTCTTTTAGTACCCTATATTTTATCCCAGTTGATGAGGAATTTAGAAAGAATCTAGTTTCACCCATCTCGTTCTCAGATGAAAAAATAATGTAAGTGGCAGATCCAAGTTATGACCCAGTCCTCCTGCCTCAGTAAAATGCCCTTCGTGTGACATTGCATCACACAGAATTGCTGTTTTTGTCAGCCACAAAGATCAAATATTTTTAATACAGTGAATATAACATGACATTACATCATTGCCTATGCTTCAATCAAATTCTCAAATAAATGGAGGGAATTAAATTTATAAAATCATACACATTTAGAGATGGGACCTTAAATTCAGAGGAATGGTACACAGGAGTTGTCTGGGGGAGTTATGCATGTTTTCCCCCGTTTTGAGTGCCTGTATTGAAAGTAATTAAGAAGAGAGTCTACATTCTGGGTTTATTTGAAAATAAGACCTGAGTTCCAGCATGGCAGCCATTTGCTGGCGGCAGAGTAATGGTCCTCTTACCCCGCATATCTGCCATGCAAACAAACCTCCTTCATTTCTCACTGGGGCTGTGCTGTTCATGTATGCTTCCTGCCTTGTCACTGTAGGTTTGTGGACTTCCTGCCATCGTGAAAGGTCATAACCTGTCTCCAAATAAGGAAACACACTTAAATACTGAGCGATTTTGGAATAAAATATGACATGTAGTTATAAGAGATAATATGGTTTGTTAAGGAGAAATAACTTCATATTTGTCTTAAGTGACTTTAAAAGATAATTACCTCTGTTATTTCGTCCACAGGTTATTCGAATCCAGAATATTTTAACAGAAGAGCCCACCGTAACAGTGGTTTATGCAGACAATGGAACCATGCTGCAAGGCAGCACGGTTGCCTCCGTGTACAAAGGGAAACTGCTTGTGGGCACGGTGTTCCAAAAGGCTCTTTACTGTGAGCTCGAACAGCCCAGCGCACAGCCACATTAGCAGTGGAAGCCCGTGTTAGCCACTGGCCCGAGTTGCCACAGAGATCCCAACAGAGTAACAATGGTGACACTAAATGCAGATGTCATGAGGCACGGAAATGCTATTTAATCAGGAGCCGATAGGGAGAGCCAGGCATTTTGAGAGTGCATTATCAAATTAGTCTGATTGGCCAATAAAGGATCCTTTTCATTAAACTGGTCCTGTTTATTGTACCAATGGTCAGAATTTAAATAATGTAACTGTACATAATTCAAAAAATCCTTTCCCCAAAACATGTATTCCCTAAAAGCACAAGAATAAATGACATTGCTACCTCTCCTTCAGAAAACAGGCACTCAGGGTGAGTTTGTGCATCATCATACCCTCAGTCCTTACTTGAGGACTCCAGGCCACATGCCAGAAAACTAAACAACTAAACTTCAAATGACCTGGCAACTCCAGGCATCTCTCCGTAGCAAAGCAATGGGCCATACCAGCAGCGTGAGACTTTATATGGTTTCTATGGAGATGTCCCCCCAGGTGGGGATTGAGAGGTGAGTAAATGGTGAGAACACTAGAGCTAACTTGCTCTTAGGAGTAGGGTCTGGGTGGCAGAGATGGGTGACTGGGTGACCAGGAAGGGCACAGCCTTGTGCCTGGCTTCTCCCTGCCTCCTGGCTAACATGATGTGAGCAGCTTTCTACAGCCCAGGCCCTTCTTCATTTTCTGTTTGAGCCTGCTGAGTATGGACTGAAATTTCTGAAATGTGAACAAGGTAAACTGAGTCTTTAATTTTCTGGTGTTGAGGGTTGAGTGTCTGTGATGAGGTGAGCCCCGTGCCCATTCTCCCTCTCTACCTGCAACTTTTTCAGGCAGCAAGAACCTGAATCACCCCATTCTCCCATCTCTCTGATTCTTTTGATTCTCCTGTGGCCATGTCATGTGGGAAAATTTTAAAATTCTTGGGGACATTGACACACCTGAAAATGATGTCTGTTACCTCAGCACCACTTGAACACTTTAATTTCATTGACCTGGACAAAGAAGGAAGCTTGCTCATTCAACAAGCAGATACAGAATAAACCCCGTAATGTATCCAAGAGCTTAGTGCCCTGAAGATTCCACCGCTGCTCAGGTGGTGGCAGAGGTGTTTGTTTTGTTGTTTGAATTCTATTAGCTGGGGAGACTGAGAAGAAAAAAAATACAAAGTAAACACACAGAAAAGATCAACAACCACCACTGGCCATCTTCTAAGAGGGGAAGAAAACAGGACTTCACCATTTGGCTATGAAAGCTGCTATAAAGAGGCTGCCTATCTTCAAATTCATTTGTCTTTTGAATATAGGACCTCAAACATTAAAGCAGTCACTTTGGCAGTGCTTAAAAATTACTGATTTAAAGAGATTCTGTTTTGATAAAAACACTTGTACTATCTCAAGATTCAGGTTACTCATAGTCTCAGCATCTTACCAAGTGTCCTGTGAATGTTCTGTTATTCAGTGGTATTATCTGGCCACAACCCAGGAAACTGAATTCTGAAATACCATCTGTAACTATGAGTTTGGTGTTTAGGAAAACCCTCCCACATATTTCCTTTAAAAAGAATCCTTGAGTAGTTAGCCTCTGTAACAATGTTATGAAGTATTTGTATTTGGCAAAGGAGGAAGCTTTCCAGTGTCACACAGCATACATTCAAGTTTATTGGAAAGAAATACACCTTGGTTATGAATTGTCTAACACACACTGGAAGAGGAAAAAGGTTCAATTTCAGATACTATTCTGGATGCCCAGATAAAGGTTTTTACATAGCCAAAAGTTTAGTACGGATATATTTGCGTGTGTGTGTGAAGGAATGACCTTAACATTGTTCACCTGTTATATCCAAGAATCTTGAAGGTTGTAGGAGTAAAACTCATTAAAATACACATGTGCTAAGGACGGGCCTGATTCTTGCTTAGCCCGTGCCGCACTGCAGGAGGCTGACTGCCTCATGGGCTCACCACAGACCTTTCCTTGGATGATAGATATCAGAACCCTTGATGTAAAGTGGCGACGGGGGAACAGAAAGACGGGCAAGGGCACTGTGACGGGAGGCTGTGCTCTCTTAACTTTATGCCCAGTTTCATAATTGTGCTTCCAAAGGTAATTCTAGCTGCCAATTTACACTTTACTAGACTTAAAGCTTATTTTTAGTTTCATTTCCATGAAAAATGTGCACTTTGCTCTTGATTGATGGATGTGTTTTGATAGTTAATACAGGTTTACCCCGTCAAGGCTTGTTTTAGTTGAAGGTGAAAAATGGAAGTGGAAAAAATTATTCAACAGATATCCATATGTCTTTTTATTGCATTCGTTGTCTAACAACAATAATACTCATCGGCAAGAATTTTATTTACATTAACAAATCAAATTTAATCACAGGTATTTTTAGATTGGTCAGAAAACAAAGGACCACTGTTATATTTTGCTTTAAATATCTCTGAAAACCAAAGCGTAAGAAATGTCATTTGAAACAGTACATATTAACCAAGCACAAGAGAACAATTCAGACGCTGCACTATTTTCTCTTCCATGCAAATGATCAGAGATCAAAATATACAAATTAAAAATTTCAGGTAACATGCTACCTGTACTTTTTGGACTCAAATTTATCTTAAACAATTCTTTTTCTTTAGTAATAAAGAAAGACGAAAGTAAAACAAATACTTACAGAACAGAATTTAGTCTCCTTTATTTTTCAGCTGCCCAGTTTTTTTTTTAATAATATGTAGCAAGTGTACCAGTGGTTTAATTGCAACATCATTAAAAATATGAAAGCAGTAGTTCTGACATTAAATAATATTGAGGAAAGCAAATGCATATACATTTAAGGAATTTCACTTAGCACTAACTAAATTCGATGTTGTTGGGAGGTGTTATCCAGCCCGAGTGCCTCTTCTTGCTATTTTCAGGTAACCTATTCTGGCCAATTATTCTTTCATGAATGAATGATTAAATCCTGAACAGAAAACCTAGGTGTGTGGATAAAAGAGCTGAACGAAACAGAAGTGTACACCTTCCAACAACATACACTTACAAACATTTGCTTTGTTTTTGGTGACAACCAAAATGCCATCACTTAGCATAAGATGACCAAAATGCCATTATTTGGCACAATAAGTAAATAAACGGTCACATGATGGCTACATTGCCATCAGAGGCAGTAGTGACTTTAGCATCACAACTACTGATGTCATCTTAGAAGTCAATGCATAAGAACACACAGTGCAATTTTTAGCCAAGAAAACTGCAGTCCACAGTTGAAAATGCCCAAGCTGCATAAATATCTTCTGAGTTCTAACTCAAAAATGTGCAATCTTGACATGAAAGCATTAACCAACACTTGAGGAAGTTTTATCTTACTAAAATACCAACTACCTAATAAATTGATTTTACCAAAATATTTAAACATGTAGAAGGATAAGAGCATTTAGTAAGAATACTTACAATTAAAAAATCTTAAAATCAATGGGCTATTCAATGTACAGACATCACAAAAAAAGTGGCAATAAGGCTATGATTACAGCTCAGGGTCAGGTAACTGACATTACCAGGCTCCATATTCCGTATTTTTATGCCATGGGATTGTGATGCACACATGTAGTGTGGGAAATATATTCACACAGATGTAGTTCTGAACATCTACACAAATGGCATGCATGTTGAGAAATTATCTGTTGTTCTCTTATTCCTTACCTAATTCTCACTACTGAATCCCAAGTGGTTTTGGGGCTAGGGCCAAGGACTGAAAATCATCATGTGTGTTTCATGCCTTCCCCTGAGAATGTGGGTCATGAGCTTGGTCCATGTGCTGCATATGTGAACTTTCAAGTATGAATCATTTGTTCAACAAACCCACAGACACTCATGGGCGAGCATGGAAGGACCTTCCATTCACCATAAATACTTTCATTTTCCAGGAGAAATTTGTTCTGTAGATGGTTTCTCTTCCCTCTAGCTTCTCAGTTGGGCTTATTCTGAGCTGCTACTTCAAGTTATTAAAATGTGTTTTGATTTTCCCCCCAGTGTTTTGGATCAAGGCTGTATTTCTTGAGACTTTAAAATAGTCAAAACAAATGCAAACAAAACCAGCCAACATACCTAGGTGGTTCTCAGGAGTACATGTCTGAAGCACATGTAGATTCCTATAATACTGCTTTCTTTAGTGAATGTACCCTCCCCTGCCCAATTACCATGAGAGCAATTTCGGTGGAAAATATAAACATATTACTTCCATACCTCATCCTTAAATAGCTTAGAATTGTCCTTGGTTAAAAGCAAATTAGAAAATATGCAAAGGGTGGGATTTTCATTTCCAGTTAAAAGTAGGTGACACAAACATTAGTGACTGCTATTCACCAAAGTGATGTGCCCCTGAACTCTAGCTCCGCTGGAGCACCTAGAGTTACTAGGTGGAATTTGGTAATTCTTAAATATCTCTGTGTAATGAAATGGCTATAACATTTCCAAAGTACAGAAGTTTCTTTTGGACATGCTGGAACTCTGTCCTCCAGAATATTCTTAAACACATTGGTTAATACTGTTCTTGGAAGCTGAGTCTATTCTAACCTTTTGTGGTTATAAATGATTTACAATCTGCATAAATACAATTTTTATTTACTTCCCTAGAACTTTCAAGAATGTTAATTTTAATGCACAAAAAGCACTCATGAGGTTCCTTTTTCTTCAGAAAAATCCTAAAACCTATGTTTCTTAATCAAACACTTTGTGGACATTCTTGTAGTCTGGAATATTTTAGGATTTCTAGTTGAATGACCGTGGGTCACAGGCAGTGGGTGGGACTAACGTGTCCTTCTTTCCATTTTGTTCCCAACAGCAAAAGCACACAGGACAGAAGTCCCCACTGTGTGCCAGCTGAAAGCTATGTTTGGCACTAGTACCTATCAGACCGCAGCTGTGAACTGGTGGGGTTTGAAGGTTGAGTGACTGTGGGGGTGAGAAACCCACATGGGTCCCAGCTGAAGGATGACAACCACAGAGCAGCTCTCTTGTCATGGAGCACAGGCAGACTTCCTCAGAGGACTGAAATGGATGATGTGGGTTTTCTGCCCTAAGTGAACACAAAGGAATGCTTCTGTTCAGCACCCCCTGGAAACCTGACCACACAGCACTCCTACAGTGCCGTCTACAGTTCAGCCCATCACACACCCTTCCCTCCACAGCATGACCCATACACCCCAAAACACTTCTGGCTATTGCCAGAGCCATGCTGAGCTGTTTTTTTTTTTTTTTTTTTTAAACTAGAATATACTTCAAAGTAATTACATTTTCCCTTGTTCATTTTTTGATAATAAAAAATGCAAAGTCTTTAAGGTTCATGAAGCAACAATACTGTGTCAAATTATAGGGACACTGAAAAATACAAGCATTAAAGTAGGAGCTGTGCAAGACACTAAAACCTTAATTAGTTATCATGCATTAAAATCCCTAAAAGAAATAAGAAAACAAAATGCTCACAAGATCTGAGGTCCTTCACTTTGTAACAATCAGTTTACATGTTGTCCTTTGTTGGGCAATCAAATCAAGTGCCTTTGCAATTTTATCAGTTTTAAGTATAAGGTTAAATGAATTCATTTATATTTAAAATTGCTTTAATTTAATTAAAATCAAGGTGGTTACAATACAAACTAATGATTTCAGAGATAAGAATTTGATTTTTAACTATCTGTTGGATATTAATCTGAACAATGAAGTGTACAAACAAAGTTATAATAAGGAACAATACTACTATGACATTTAAGAAAATACAATAGATCATAAATTATGGACAGAGACACACTTATCGACATTTCCAATATATACACTCATTTTCAAATATAACCAAAGTGTAAACATAAAATGATTATCCTTCTGTTTTCACTCTTAAATCAATACAGTGAAAGTTCCAGTGTGGTATGGGTTACTTTTTTCCCAAAGAGAAACAAAAATGGCAAAATTTTACAATAGCAAGCACTAACATTACCAGATATTTTCTAATTAAGTCTTCTAATATTAGGAAAGACTAACTGACTTTTGCAGTTCATTAATAGCGGCTCCTGGTTTCTTGTGATGTTAACAAATAGCAAAGCACCAGATTATCTCAATACATTAACAGATATCTGGTGTGGCAGTTTCAATATGATGCCCAAATGAAGACAGATGGAAAAATGTAATAGTGACCTGGTCCTCGCAAACACAGTGCTACTTTATGTCAACATTTTTGAGACCAAATGAACAGTCCTACCTAGTGACAAAAGGACTGAAGCTTAACAGACAATTTTCTGTCATAAATGGAGACAGACTTTGGGGAAAGAACAGAATTATTAAAGAATTCTAGCTTAGACAATTCCAGAACTCAGATATTAAAAAAATAATTATTCACAATGTTTATTACTTTAATAAACATGAGAAATGGGGATACCTGGGGAAGCTCTCTTTACATTCTCTGTTACACGCAGGCTGCAAGAGCCATCTGCCAGGCTCTGCGTGCGGAACACTTACAGTGGCAAAGTGCACAGTGCTCTGAGCAAAGCCAGGAGCTCCTGTCGCACAGGAAGGGAGACACCTGATCGAGAGCTCTTATGGCCTCCGGTCTTACTTTGAAACTTGTCCACTGGAAAGTGATAACCTCATTTTTGGAGCTTGTGCAGCAAAGACTATGAGAGTAAGCATAAGAAACAAAACAAAAGACATTAAGAAAAGCCCTCATAATGTGAAATTTCTCAAGATGAGTTTTTTCTCTGCCTTCTGCCCCAGTCTCCTGCATTTGATTCAGTTTGGTCAAATACCAAAATCTTTACTGGCTTTAAAATAAGCGTAAGTTCTCCCACTGCTATAATATATACTGTATACTGCTTAAACAAACTGTTAAGCGGAAATCTCTAGGAAATGGAAAAGAATGGCTCAGAGAAACCATTCAAAGTATCTTTAAATGTAACTGATAGCTGTCTTTTGTAGTAACATTCTGCATGGTTCTATGTGAACATTACTCAAATCTAAATTTTCTCTAACTGGTTCTTTAATTTTTCTTAAAAGTACATCTGTTAAAACACTGAGCCCATTTGGGAAATTCTGAGTAGAAAATAAGTGACAAGTTCCTGGTTGTGTCATAGGCAGGCTAAGGACCAGCTGGAATGCTCCCCAGAAGAAGGAACCTAAAAATGTTGGTTTCCTTAAAAATCAATTTCCTGTTCAGTGTATTGGAGGAGAAGAAGAACTGTACTGTGTTTGCCAGTGTTGCTAAAATACTGAACACTCAGCAGTAGCAAAGCAAACAACATGTCCCAGCCTCCCATGGCTGCATTAAGGTCTGACTTCTCTTTATTTAGCAACATCCAGAGGATAAATGTTACCCTCAGAAGCCCACAGGATTACCACATACACACTCTTAAGGCTTTTGTTTTCTTGTAAAGTTAAATAACTCTAATTTGTTCTCTCTCTTTCTGATGCCCAGCAAACAGAACAGTGTGAGTGCTTTTTACCCCTGTGGGGAATTATTTTTGGCAGCACAACCACATTTCCACAGCGGATTAGCACACTGTTCAGACCAAGAATTGGGAGGGAGCCTTTCTCACACCTGGCCTGGATCCTGCAGCCCTGGGAGCAGTCCAGATCCCCAGCCCATGACAGCTGTCCAGATTGAGGATCCTACCCTGAGAGTTCTAGGTGCTCCACCGGCAACACCAGGAGGTGCTGTGCTCCAACTGGCAGGTTCTCCAAGTGGTACAACATAGGATGTTGGTAAGTAGGAAAAGAGAGAGAATCAGCAACTTTGTATCTCTCACAAATGAGAGCTCTGATTTGCTAATGGACCAATGGTGGCTTGGGGTTATTTCAGGAGGATAAATTTAGGAGTACTCCATTTCATTACTGTAGAAAATGCAGTCCTTCAGCACACATTTCCTCAGTCTGCCTCGAGTAGCATTGCCCCCAGCATCAGTCTCTTCTTCATCCTGTAGAGTGGGGCAGGCAGGAAGAGGTGGAACTTTACAGCTCACCAGCGCCCTCCGCTGCAGTTGACGTCATCTTCTCCGCCTTTCTGGACTTCCTCTGCATTTGCTCCTGTTCCTTCCTCCTTAGCTTTTCTCTTTGTTTTTCCATTTTCTCTTGGGCCTTCCGAGCTTTCTCCAGAGACATCTTCATTTCCTTCAGTTTTTTTTTGACCACTGCTCTATCCTGGGATGACACTATTCCAAGAGCCTAGCAAGGAAACACAGATATAAATTGAATTTGGAAACTGATGACTCCTCTGCTTATGGTGAAGTTAATATCACAATATGTTCAGATTCTTGAACCAATGCAAACATGGACAGAAGAGGTAAGAACTGATTACATCTACATGGGATAAGCTGAGTAAAAATACGAACACAGTGGGGTTCTTGTTTCTCTGTCCTTTGAAGCCGCTTGCAAAAGGCAGCCTAACCCTCATTAAGAAAATGTTTTCTGAATTGGTAATTAATGAGTAAATGAATGAAAAAGAATGTGATTCTACTTCCCCAACCTTTGGGCTGTAGACCTTTACAGAGAAAAATACCGCTCAACTCATCAATATCTTCAAAGGGTAGGGGTGGGCACTGCTGCCACAGAGGGCCCTAAGAAGGGTGGGAGAATTGACATGACTTTCTTTCTGCCAATGTATTCATTTACAATAAGAACCAAACATGTCTTTGGGGTGAGAATGCTCATGTCAGCACAACTAGCCATTCTCTCCCCGTAGGCAGACCTATAAAGGAAGGTTGATTATAATGAGGTTGCTCAATCAGCTTGGAATTCAGAACAGGAGAAATTTGTTGCGTACTTTAAATGTTTCATGACCTTCAGAACCAACAGCGGGATGCATCCATCTCCCCAATAGGGACAGCTTTGTCAATGGGGCCTTCATATTCACAAGCTATTGATTGATCTGTAACCTTTTCAAGACTGTCAAGAGATACTCATCCACCATCAGGCTAGCCAGGGACGGAGGCAGTAGAGAGGGATGCGTGGAGCTGGCTGGATACCTCATTTGCCCTTTGTCCACAGGAGTGGGTGCCATCTGAGTTTCTAGGAAAGATGGGCTGCACAAGTGGAAATGAGAGTGCAATGAAGGGGGAGGGAAGACACGGCCTACACACATTAGGGGAAGGAAAGTTCTCGGGAGAACATCACCCCAGGTTTGGAGTGGTGTATAGGGAACGGGGTTGTGGAGGAGAATGAACAAGGAAAGGAAGATTTAGGGGTCTGGGTCTCAACTCTAATGTGATGAGAAGTCCACATTGGCCATTATTAAAACTCATACTACGTGGGAAATAAGCAGAGTTAATATATGGGCCATGTGTTGACAGGTGATGTGATGGAGTGGATCCCTAGCTACCCTTGTCAGTATCCTATATCTGAATCAGAACTGGAATTTGTGAAACATTTCCTACCAAGAAATGAGACATCATCCATCCTTTTTGCTAGTTGTTAATGAGAATTACCTCTCACATATGCAGAATGGTCTTACCTAATGAAAACATTTTAGGTGCTATGAGTAATATAAATCATATCTGGTAACCTAACACAGACATGTAATTCTTTACCTTAAGTTTATTTCCATCCAACTGCAGGAGCTGCTCTCCAGTGATGTTTTGGGCACTGAATTCAGATACATACTGCTCCAGATTTAGGCTCATTAACCAGTGAGAAACCTGCTGCACACTCCATTCATGAACGGCCCGACTCTGATACTGACTGTGTTTGGGAGACTGTCCATCATCAAGGATCTGAGGTAGGAATTTACGCAGTGTTGTTAAAGGACCAAAAGGCTATGTCTCATATTTATGCTACCAAAAGTAATTTCTTAACCTACTAGAGCCACGTTCATTTTAAAACCATGAAATGATAATGGTTCTAGTTTTGTTAGAAAGAGACATACTAATTATCTACATGGTTTTAGTTATATGGAAATTCAAAAATTCCCCCAAATAAAATACTGTTATTTAGGAAGTTTAATATTAAAAAAATCCTTTAATGTTGAAAGCTTTTACATTAAAACAGTTTGAAAATATTATCTGATGTAAAAAAAACAAATGTTTCATAAATCTTTCCATGCGATGCATTAGTCTACCTTCTAAGACATGAGAATTTTGAAAAAATACATTAAAAATAAGGAGGCATCTGTCACTTGGAAGAGGACAGCACTTATGCCCTCGAGCCTGTTTCGGGGAAATTTTACAACCATTTTTTTTTTAATTTTAGTAACAAGCAAATCTGTGAAAAAGGTAGGAAATATCCATGATGACTATCAATACATGAGGAAACTGAGGCTCAGAAAGTCTGATTTATCAAAGATAATGCAGCTAGTAAGTGGCAGAGCTCAAAAATAAGTATTTTACTCCTAATTTTAGGCTCTGTCCAGAGTAGAATATTGTTTGTAATAGTGCAAAAAGGCAGGTTAGTTCCTAGCACAGCTAAGGCGATCCATGAAGGCAATGTCTCAGACAAAAGTCAGGAGTTGCCTCGGTGACTCAGCTCATGAGGAACAGAGGAGGGGATGGGGAAGCTGAGATGAAGGCAGAGGAGATGAGAAAGAATGAACTGTGTGTAATGGTGATGGGAGAGAAACTGAGGACTCTGGAGGTGAGATTTAGATCTTTATCACTCTGGAAGCTCTTTTAGCTAAGATATAGACAAGGGCAGAGAGTGAAGCTATTTAACACATGGAAACCTTCCACTGCAGAGGATAGTGTTCTTGTACTGTTTGATTTTTAAGGTATTTATAAGGAGAGAAAAGCAGGTCAAAACAATCCCACGCAAGGCCTCACACACAGCCCACAGATAGCTCACCTCGTCATCTATCATATCCAGGCTCTGAGTGAGGGGCAACAAAGGAACCAAGAAGAGAAGGGTTATAGAAACAGGACACACAACAAACACAGCACACAGTTTCAGTACAATACAAATCACTTGAAGAATACTGACATGGGAAAAAACATTTTACCAAACAAAAATCATGTCATAAAAAAAGTATTTAAATAAGAACTAAAATATCTTCACTTACATTGTTTCCTCCCCTACCCCACTGCTTTCGGAAATGAAGTCAATCTCTAATAGAATTTCTTGCCTCGCTTATATACTTTATCTTCTGGTAGTCCTTAGTAATTCTCATCTGGACCCTATAGCTTCTGAGTAAGTGGCTTGTGCCTTCTTTTCCTTCCTTATCACAACTAGGTCTCTCTCCTGCGGGGCTCCTTCGGGAGTACGCCATGTTCAGAAGGAGTATCAGACTAATGGTGTGAGGCAGTAGAGGGCGAGGGAGGGAGGAAATGAACACCCTGTAAGCTTCCACGTGGTGTGACTTGCTCCCTCATTTTTGCTCTCCCATGCCTGGTTGGCCCATGATGTGTGTTTATTATATGCAAAGGGGCCCCTGCAAACTTTCAAGGGTCTAAAAAACATACTTTGATTTCATGTTGCCCAAGAGGAAAGCTCTCATGCACATTTCACTTTATGTATAAAACTACAGTCCTGATGATTTCTATGTTAAATCTACCCTAAAAACGGTTCTTGGGAGGGTTCAGGAGTAAAACCTCAGATCTGAGAAGCCCGCTTTGCCACAGTCCCTTGAGAGTACCTCATCTGATGACAGCACCAAGGACTGAGATAGCCCTGGTGTTTTGGTTTCTGCTCCTAAGCCGCTCAGGTCTGCTGAACTGGTGCTGCTGGGGCTGAAGTCATCATTGAAAGTAAAATTCTGTAAAATAAATTAAAAAAAAAAATAAATGAATCTCGGCATTACACGAGCAGAGTGTGCAAACTGGAGGTAGGTGTGTTTGTCTTTTTTTCAAGAGGATCTTTTTAAGCAGTTTTAGAAGAAACTCCCACAAGTTTAGTTCAGTGATGACTTTCAAGTGGGTAGGGGCTGAATATACTGAGCCTTTTGGAATTCTGGGCACTTTCTGCATTTGATGAAAGGATAGGCATTTTAAAGAATGATTCTTCACTCTCTCCAAGGGTACAGAATTCATTATCCTCTGTAAGTGCTCAGAGGACCAATATTAATAAGCCTATTTTCTTTGACTCTAATCCTGATGAGTAACAGCATAAGCAAAAAATACAAGATGGTGTGAAGAGGCTGAGTTATCAGGAGCAGATGGCAATTCCTACCAGGAAGGTGTTGGAGCACCCCAGGAAGGACTGCACACAGCTGGCCATGATAAATGCCATGAGGAGTGGCAGATGCTCACCTCGATGTACTCTTTATGATGACAAGTTCTACAGAGAGCAGAGTCTGACAACAGTTACATCCTGGGCTATAACCCTCTCACTACACCACCAGACCACCAAAGAGGCCGTAACACAGAACAGACATATGTGTGCATAGGCACCCAGGGGTAGGAGTTGGGCTTCATTAACATGTTCAGCAGCTAATAAAATCAAATTTAACAATCGCTACAGAGCTACATTTGTGAAATACTTTAAATCAAATCCAGAGTCTCTTTGGTGCAAGATAATGGTAGAATTGCTATAGCGACATTTAAATGTTTCTGAGCCAATACTAAAAGACCAAAATGGTCTGTTGCTGTCAAAATTTCTCTTGATAATAATAGTAGAATGGCTGGATTCCTGCTAAGCACCTGACCAACACCATCTTGTTTCATGCTGTACCTCCTAAGGAACTGGATTGTTAGGATTCCACTAGGAACTTGAAATAGGTTTAGTTGGTTAAGAAGATTAAATATCATGTCAGAGGCTGGAAAACTCAATACCCAAAAAACTCAAAAGATTGTGAAACCCTTAGAAAAGAAGTCTGAATTATGGAGGAAGAGAAGAACAAGTTAAGCAACAAAGGCATTTAACACAGAATACAACCACTGCTATTATTGATAGAAATGCAACCCCAGACCCTGGTCAAAACCTTTGGAGCTGTTGATTTCAAGAAAAGAATTAAATTCAAGTAACATTAATCACATGTTTCTGTTTGAGAGGAAAAAGTAAACACAGAAAAAAAGAGATCAAATAACAAGTGAAAGTTAGCCACTGTACGTGTTCCAATAAAATGTTAGATAAGGTTTGCAGCGTCATGCTGGAAATACCGTCATGCATGCGAAACACATCACATTTGTGAATCTGATGCTCACTTCTGACAGTTAAAGCACCTTGGTGACAGAATTATAGTAGCCTTTCAGCATGTACATTTCATATGAAAAGAATTAAGGTACTGTGTCAGCACTAGTTTCTTATAAAGAGTTACACATATTCAACACTGAACACAAATAGTCCCCAATTTATCTGTTTTTCAATTAATCTTGAAGAGCACAGTGAAAGAGTTTTGTAATGTAATTTGAAGTAGAATAACTAGCAAATGGATCTACAATACTATTTCATGACTCAAATACATCTTTCCCAGCATGGCTTAACTGTCAAACTGAGATTAAGCAGTAGTTATGAAAGGACAGACAGGCAGAGAAGTGCATCAGTATTAAAGCAAGGGGTGGTCACATGAGGCTTTCTCTTCCCCACACAGGAGCACCACGCAGTGCTGCTCACGCTGCTAGCACACTGGTTCCTCTGGGCCAGAGCACACACATACAGGCTAAGAATGCCTTCCAAAGACCGAAGAGGAGAAGGGGCTTGGGATTTTCTTGTTTGCTTTTTAAATCCACATGTTTTCTACCTTGGACCTGGTTTTATCTGAAATTAGAGTCTCAGGAGAAGGCTGAAAGGGACTTGTAGGTGAAGGCGGGTTCCTGAAGGAATAGGATCCTTTCCGGCTTTCATTAAACCATGAGAAAGGCATGCAAGGGGAATGGGTGGTCCCCTGTGCTGCTGAGTGTGGCTTGGGCTTCCAGTTTTCCAGTCGGCCTCGGAAGAGCCTGTTTCATGAAAAGAATAAGGGTGCGTTAGACAAAGAAAAGGTAAAAGAAGCTACTGAACCAAATTCTGAAAGAACTCTCAATATGGTTTGAGAAACTGTTCTGCTTGATAGGGTACTAATTTTGTACTTTGGGCTATAAGACTAATCTTAATAGTTATCTTTTCTGCAACTAAATGGGTTCTTAGGCAATAATCAGCATTCTCCAATTGCTACTACCATGGTGAAATTTTTATTAAGTGCATGCCGTAAGCATATTGGATGAATTAAAATCAGGAAGGCAGCCTTTCAGGAGCTGCCCTTAGCTTAGTCTTCCCAGCATTGTCTGGGTGACATTTCAGGGCCTCACAGCTCCTGAGTCACCTCAGCTCTCAACAGTGTCCTCTCTGCTTTCCCCTGGACTCCTGTCTCCAAGGGTCCACTGCTGTAGACAAGGAGACTTTTAAATAATTTGGGAATTTCAGAGCTCATGATACATTAAACAGAACCTGTGGCTTTCTGGTTTTTCCTCATTATCGCAATACTTTTCACAGGAGGAGCATGAGGAACACAAGACCTGAAGTCCACACATTCCGCTTGGTAACTAGGGACACTCCCTGCTGAGTATGTGGACTTGGGCCTTTTTCTCATCCTTGTCTCCCCAGCTGTGAAAGGTAGGTATTTGCATGTATCTCGGATGTGATTAAGAATCCAGTAACATATATTTGGTACTTTGAAAACTACCAAAATATCCCAGTCTATGTTTACTGCTTGTTATTTTTTAAAGGATTCAAAGCATTTGTAAACTACTGCATGAAAACAGACTTTTTCCTTAATGCATGTACTTTCATTGTGTTTTTCTTCTGTTCAGCAGGAGGCTTCTGATTATCAAGAGCCAACAGAAGAACAGACAGAGGTTTATATCCATTTTGGAAGAGGTCAGCCTCAAAAAATTCAGATGCTACTTAATGGAACATCTATTATTTGAAAGCTATTGATAATAATAAGTGCCTAAATATCATAGTTACACACTCTTAACTACCATGTATACTGAATTTCAGTTTTCTCATATCTCATTTAAAAACGATATAAGCAACAGAAAATTGAAAAATTCAAGTTGATTTTCAAATATTCTCGCAAAAACCAAATGCAACAATAAATGTAAAATCATCAAATAAAGTGTAACATAATGCACAAATGTCAAAGGGTTTATCTTCAATATAAATTATAGTATTTATCTTTAAGATAAATTTTAAGACAACTGAAGAGAATGAAGAAGTCAGTGAAGTTTTGCAAAATTTTTAAGACTAGCAGGTTGGATGAACAAAACTGTGGGTCATGTTAGAGATCCCAGAAGATCTACTGACTTTAAAAGTATATTTCTTTAAAAAAACAAACAAACAAACAAACAAACAGTGAGAGAGAACAGCAGTTTCTTGGATAACAGAGAAAGCTCAAACAGAAATATGGTACCTTTCAATTTCATCCTAAAGTCTAAATTTAAAAATCAAATGTATCCTTGGTTCTACTTATTACTATGTGATAGAAGGAGTGGTATAACTAAGCTCAAGAAAGCTGAGAACAGAGGCGGACTGCCTTTCTGTAGGAAGCAGTTCTCAGTATGCGGCCATAAACCAGTGCAGCCTTTCCCAGGACGAGCCCAGTTGGAACCATCTGGTGCCATTGTGCAAGCGGCTCTTGGGCACCTAGACTTACTCGAGTGGAATACGGGGGAGGAGAGTGGAGTTGTTCACCTGGAATCCAGATTTTAGACTGGTCCACACTAACTCTTAAATTTTTTAATAGTTGTTACTATTATCCTAAGTGCAAAAATATTTTTTTTTTCTAGTGTAGTGAGCATTCTATTACTTGCAGAAAACTATTACACAGATTTCCTAAGCTCTTGCTTTTTCCTTCCATATAAACCAGGTGCTGTCCCAACCCTCGTCTACAATGCAGATCTGGATGGTGACAAGGAAAGGGACAGCTGTCCTCTAGCCCCTCTAAGAGACAGAGAGAATCTTATCTCTTAAATGCACATAAATTCCATTTCCAGAAAATCTTGGGTTCTTATCCCCAGGTCTGTAAACACCACGTTTCTGGGGGAAGATAAGACTAATGACGCCAGCTTTACAGCCCTGGGAATGTTTCTTGAAGCCTCATCTCATTCTGTCTGCTCCCTCATCCAGCCCAGTCAAATGTAACCACATGCCCCTGGGGAGGCAAATCTCTTTGGAGTTCTCTCTCTCTCTTTGGTCATGACTTCAAAAGTCTGTCTCCTAGCATAAGTCTCAAATTCCAGTAAAAAAGCTCAGAATCCCTTAACTCTACAGAAACATAAAAATATGTTTTCTGAAGCCTCACACCCATTTGGCATCATCTGAGGAAAATCTAGGCCTGATAATCAAGACACTTATTTCTGTTCATAATACAAGTAAGTATAGCAGTGCTTAAACATATGGCTGGTGTTTTAAAATTTATAGAGAAGCCACAATCAGTAAGAGGATGACAAGCTTATGGTATTCCTCAGTGAAGTGCCTTTGTTAGCAAATGGCTTTAGAATGACCACCCTGCCTTTTAAAAAATTGTTTCCTCATTACCTTTCTCTTGCCTTATTTGGAAAGGATTTTTGGTAGTTCAAAAGTTGGTGAAGCAACATTTGAAAAAAATCTGAAAGCCACATGTTATTAAACTGTCTATAAATTCTCTGTGCTAGAAAAATATTAAAAACTAGTAATTTCACACGGACTTGTACATCTAGCACCAGAGTAGCCTTGGGGACACCGAAACCCAACCTCTGCTGAAACCTCTTGGCTTTTCTTGTCCAGATAATGGACAAGTAAAGGAAGAAGCCTGCAGAAATCAGGAAAATCCACTTCCAAGGAGACAACCACTGTCCATCCCTACAGCTGGGAACAACCAAATTCTCTTGTATTTTCTAGAATGTTTTCTAATTCTCCATAAGAATTGAAATCAAGAGAAATACATTCTTGACGTATTTGAAAATGATTTTTAAAGAATCCAAATAGCTATGTGTTCTACAATTCCTCCACCTATTTTTATTTTTTTTTAGCTGTACATTTTTTAGCTGTACATTTAGCTGTACATTTTTTAAGCTGTACATAATAGCTTGTTATTATTTTTGGAAAAAAATAGGGTTACAAGTCAGTCATGGCCTTCTTCCTGATTATTTTATTGCTATGAACTAAAACAAAGATGGTTTGAAACTCAGTCTTTGTTATCCAAAGATGTCATTTGGGAGATAGCATTTCATAGCATTTAGACAGTTATGGCTAATAACTCTATAGAGCAAAAACTCATTGGCATACAATTTGTAATCAATTTACCCTGGAGTTGGCACCCCAAAATTAAATTTCTTGGGAGAAAAATTCCATGGTCATTTTCATTGTTGATGTTTGAACTCTGAATACAAAGTTGGTGAACTACTCAGAACCTTTGAGTTAGACATCATCAAAACCTCATTTAAAGTCCATGAACTGCCCATCCAGAAGGAGTACTAAAGAACACTGAATTCTCATAATCTAAAGAAAGTTAACTGAACAAAGAGAGCTTCAACCATGGAAGCCTTGCAGATATAGACTTATCTGAATTAGATGGGGTCCAATTGTCTAACATCACCAGGGATACTGAGGGTATAGAGCCAGCACCATCTGAATGGAGCCTGGAGATTCCAGGTAGGATCCATGTCAAATATGTTTCTACCTGCAGCTCAGGATGACCACTCTGCACGTATCCTGAGTTCCGGCCTAAAGTTAGACCAATAATTAGTAACCCACTTGAGATGGTCCCTGGAGAGTGTTTCAGCCTTAATTCATTTGTGATGACAAAACTTTTTCTGAGTGAGTTTTCCTCCACTGAGAGTTTCAAATTGAAATCGTGAAGAAATCATGCAAATAAAATCTACATTCTTAAATTTATGCTACTGGAAATGTGCATGAGAAAGTTGTTTCTTGGGGCTGGGGATTTAGCTCAGCGGCATAAGCGCCTGCCTTGCAAGCAGGCCGTCGTGAGTTCGATCCCTGGTACCGATAAAAACGAAAAAGACAAAAAAAAAAAAAAAAAAAAAAAAAGAAAGTTGTTTCTTAAATTCTTAAAATTTTACTTTCATGGATTCTTTCCTAAAATTTTAACTTCTGGTCGTAGGGATGGAACCTGGGGCCTCAGGGATGCTAATTACACAGTATCACAAAGCTATATCCTCAACCCTTTGCCTTAAAATTTTAAATTTCTATTTATCTTAAAATTTTAAACTCACTTTACTCTAAAACTCAGATTGTTTTTTACATGTGCATTTTTTTCTTTTCCAGTGCCTTTTGATGATATCTAACTCATAAGTTCTGAGTATTCACAAACTTAGGGACATCAACAATGAAAATGAATCTAGGGCCTCCACACTAAGCTGCGTTCCCAGCCCTTTTCAATGGTTTTAAAATCTTGAGACAGGGTGTCATTAAGTCACTAAGTTGCTTGACCTCAGGATTCTCCTACCTCAGCTTCTCAGAGTGCTGGAATTACAAGTCTGCACCAATATACCACTTAGATTTGTGTTTTTAATGTATGGAATAAGTGAATCACACTGATGAGAGCAATGCAATATTTATAATCACTACAGTTATAATTTTAGCATTAGATAGTTTAGAGTTTAAGCACGGCAAAATATTAGCTTGTCAGTCTGTCAAATTTCAGGAATTCAAAATCCTTAAAATGAAAACTGACCATGAAGTCGGTCAGTACAGTTAAATCAGGAATGTTCTGTGGGAAGTATTTCTGCCCTCTGGGGGTGAACTGACAAGTGAGAGCCTTTGCGGAGCTAGGGGCAGGCAGACATGAAGTGTTTTGTGCTTCATGCATGTGCATCTCAGTCCTCCTCTCCGGTAAAAGGCCCGTGTCCACTCAACCCAAATGACTACCAAGCAGGCAGGCCCTCTGCCTGATGCAGCAACGGGACAGAGTAGCCCTCCAGGTAGCTGTCACGGGATACGACCTCAAACTCACCATCCTGCTGTGATTTCTTTAAAGCCTCAGAAAGAAATATGGATAATGAAGGAGCACCTGAAGGGTAATCCACAGAGCCCCTTCATTCAGGATATTACAGACGTCACCTTGAACGAACAAGATGGCCAGCCAAGTGTGGGTGGAGACTACTCTGTCTTATATCCCTCCCAGAAAACTTGCTTTAAACATAGACAAGAAGAATAGTCATTTACATTTATTAAGGATTTAAAATGTACTTAAAAATGGGACTTGTTCAATCTTCTCAGCGACCTGAAGCATTTGGAGTGTGTGTGTGTGTGTGTGTGTGTGTGTGTGTGTGTGCGCGCGCGCGCGCGCGCGCACGCGTGCGTGCGTGCATTTAGGTGTCTCCATTTTACGGGAGGAAACCAAAGCACAGAGTGGCTAAATAATCTGCCCAAGGGGAGGGGCAGAGCTGATATGTGAAATCAGGTTCTCAAGCATTTTAATATGATACTCTTGGTTTTCACTGAAAGGACACTATCAGTCTTACTTTTACTTACTTAATTTTTTTCTTTTTGCAGGGAGAAGTTTGGGAATTGGACCCAGGACCTTCACATTGAGCTATATTCCTAGCCCTTCTAAAATTGTTTTTTGTTTTGTTTTTAATTTGAAGATCTCACTAAGTCACTAAGTTCCCTAGGCTAGGCTCAAACTTGCAGTCCCTTTGCCTGGGATTACAGGTATGCATCATCATGCAAGCCTTGATTCACTTTTAAAATGAACTGTGTTGTTGTACAGAATGTACTTTTATATATAAACAAATTATTTTTGAAACTAAAGGAATAGGATATACATATAATAACATGAATACATGTTAATTTATAGCATAGCTGAACGAGTTAGAAACATGAAAATTTCACTTTCTTAGAATCATACAGATGGACACTATCTGATAGGAATAATTTGAGTAACATACTTAAATTAAAATTTCCCAGAAGCTAGATGAAAAAGAGGCCAAATTAATTTTAATGATAATCTATTTTATGTTACCCCTGAATCCAAGATATTACTTTAACATACAGTCAGTGATATAAAGTTAGGAAGTGTTTCACACTCTTCCAAGGTTTCTCCTGCACATCTCCTCCCTTAGTGGCCATGTCTGACTAGAGGCGACTGCTCCTACACCAACCAGAGGCCCTGGGGACGGATGAGGAAGTCAGCGACCATGTGGTTCTGGTCCAACTCACTTGTCAGGTACTTGGTAGTGAACCAGTGTCGCCACGGGAAAGTCAGGACTCTGACCTTGGATTTCAGGTCGGCATTCTTTCTAGCTTTCATGCTTGTGAGGTACAAGGGGCTCGGCTTTCTTGGCACTTCCCTCATGTAGCATCTGCCCTCCTCTGACCAGTACACCCGTTTCTCCCAGAGCTTTCTGGAGGTCTCCTCTGACACTGTGGCCACCTGCTCCACCCAGAGTTTAGCACAGGGCTTTATCTGATCTTCTGACGTGTGCATGAGGGGACAACCAGGCTCTGCTAGCCCAATGCTTCCTACTTTTGCGCCTGGCCATGCTTCTTATTTAAATCCGAATTCTCACTGAGAACACAGCTGCAAAGGCCTAGAACCCAGTCTTACTTCTTTGTTCGGTTTATGATTACCCACATCTATTTCCTCTGTTTGTCTCCGCTGGTCATGTATCTGAATCACCATGTCTCCAAGGAACAACAGAGCAAACCACTCTGGGTGAAGGTGGAGACAAGTTAAAACCAAGACCACATGTAGCAAAGTTCTGCCTCTTTAAAATCTGGTAACTGCTGGTTATGAGTGACTGATGACCTCAACCAGTTTCAACAACCTAAGAACCAGATGAGAAACCTACACCAGAAGAGCATCCACTCACATCTGCGAATCTTTCCCTCCCTTGTCTGAGCAGGTCACATGGTGGGAGGAGTCTATCCAACTCTTCTCTGGAACTGCAGTGCAACCCTGCAGCTGATTAGGCTCAAACCACCTGGCCGCAGGGGCACTGTGAAACCAAGTGAACTACATTAAGCTCCTACTGGGCTGTAGTTCTGCTCTTCCAGCTATATGCCTTGGAAGGTTCTGGGCCCATTACCATCCATAGAAGAACAGAGATTGCTATTAGATTTGATTAGTGTTACTCAATTACTCTCATAGCTCAATAACGTTTTTTGAAACAGGGAAAGTCCATCATCATCTCTTCTTCTATTTTACTTGTATGACTCTTTTGATCCTGCCAAAATTCCACTGTAATTACAAATACTTACAAAAGTATGAGTCTAATTGAAGATTACTTCTAACATCAGTAGACATTGAAATTATCTAGTCCTAATGGAATAGAGGGTGTCTAGAATTAATTTTTCCCAAAGATACACCATCCCAGTTAAACCAGAAGCTGGGCTGTGGTTCAAAGCTGGCATCAGCTGCGCTCACAAGCACGCTGGTAACCACCCAGCATCAGCACCCATTTTGCCAATAGTCCGTGCGCACTCAGTTATCCTATCAAGATGTGTTCGTTTTCACCCAGAGTTCGGCACAGATGCTTAATGTGCCTCTAAGTGGGGAAGTGACCATCTCTGATGCCCAGAGACACAAGGAAGGACTTGGTTCAGAGTTTGTCTCCCACTGTGTACCAGCATATGTGCCACTCCCTTAAATGATTTCAGTAGTCTCCTCCTGAGTATGCTTGATAGTTCATACTTTCAAGCCATAAAGCAAAGTGTTTTATATTGCTTCAAAACTATATGAGGTCAAGTGCTTTTGAGTTGCATATCTTGTCCTATTTACTTCTGGTTTCCCCAGACTGTTTTCCATAATAAGATAAAGGCTTTCTAAGCCTTCTGCTCTGTACAGCATAAAGGAACACCAGTCCAGCAAAAGTAATGGATTTGGAAATTCTCTCTCCTACTTCCCTATCCCACTACATTCTACTGTAATACCAAGAAGGTACAATTTCTTATTAAGGAGTGTGTCAGATAAAAGGGAAAAGAGAGAGAGAGAAAGGAGAGACATGGGGAGGGAGAGAGGAAGAAAGGGAGAAGGCAGAGAAGGGAGGAAAGAGAAGAAGGAAAGAAAAAAAGGCAGGAGGAAAAAAAGGGAAAGAGAGAAAAAAAGTGGGAAAATAAATAACAGGGAACGATCTCTAATATGGTTAAATGATCCTCAAATGCTTTCACAGATGTTTAGTATCTTGTTTGTTTCTTCCTAGGTGTATGCTATTCATCCCACATTTTCTGACAAAGCATCATTAGAAGCATGAGTGCAGGAGTGGCACTGTGTGCTGGAGAGACTCAGACGGCGGCGCGGGCTCCAGCTCTGGCCTTCACTGCCTGCTACACACCCTGAGCAAACCCATTACATTGTATGAAGTCACCGTTCTTTATCATAAAGTATAGAACTACCGGTGATGGAAAACATGAAACCACTTTGAAATTGACAAATAATAGCAACAAATTGTTATTCTACTATTTTTAACACCTCCTATGTGTCAAGTACTGTTTCAAATCCTTACACTACCCTAAGGTAGGCAGTCTCTTCCTCTTTTACAGGAGAAGACAAAAGTAAGGAGGGCTCTACATCCTGCCCAAGATTTATAAAGTCTGAATGGAAAACCCGTGATTTGAATCCAGGCAGATGGATTCCAATGCTTTATGCTTTAAATTATCTAATCTCAGAAAAAAATTTTGGAAAATTTGATAACATGCTGTTCTAAACGCCTCTATAGAAAAAAAGTCTTTACTGAAAAGTAAGCTTAATTGACAGCTTACTTTTTCCCCCCTGAAAAATCAACTGAATAGCTAAATTCTTGCCTGGTGTGATGGTATGTGTCTATAAACCCAGTGCTTAGGAGGCTGAGGCAGGAGGATCACCATAATTTCAAGCTCAATGTGGGCTACATAGTGAGTTCAAGACAAGCCTGAGCTCTGAACTCCAAAGTGAGACCTTTTCTTAAAAAACAAATAAAATATTTAAAAAGTTACATCTGTCCATTAAGAGACAGTGATCATTCTTGCATGCATGTAGACAAGACAGTCCTGATTAACAAGGTACTTAAAGTGTAAAAATCCACCTTTTAGATTTAACCAAAAGAGATGGCAAGCACAGAGATTTAACCAAAAGAGATAGCCAGGCAAAAATCTGAAATACATTTAAAATGCCATACATATTGTAATGAGTCAAACTTTGATTGAAATTGTTCATGAGCTCCTAATTCTGTAGTGAAGGACCAATGGATATGCCCATAGCAAGATGTAGATTACCTTAGTTAAGGTAAGATACATATTATATAAGCTGATTGCACAATTTTTCTTTCATCTCAACTCTTAAAATATCATTTCAGCTCAGAAAGATCAACTATTGATTTTGGCTAACAATGAAAAGAAGGGGCCAGAAGGTTTAGGCATAGAAGAACATTATGTCTTTAATCACCCACCCATACCTGCTACCAGAAGAAAACCTATTGGCTTCTTTTTCTTTCCATTTCTTTCCCTTGCTGGAATTCCTTCGCAAAGGTGCCCTATAATGACAGCATACAATCAGAAAGAAGAAGCCAAACTCTCCTCCTCTAGTCCTCTATTTACAGAGAGTTTGCGCGGGACAGCACCAAGTACTTACCCCAGATCCACGAACTTCCGCTTAATTTTCCCTCCTTGCACCACCAATGAGCTAGATGCCCTTAGTGATTTGGGACATTTGGCATCATCTAGGATATAGATATATATGAGAAAGACCAATTATTATTTTGTGTTAATTTTTAATTTTATTAGTGCATATCTGCAGTCCAAATGCTTACACACTCATCATATGGAGTTGGTAGTCTGTAACACATCTTAGTTTTTTTACTTTCCCTTCTCCCTCTTCCATCTCTTGGTCTCCTATCATTTAAGTCATGAATCTAAGGTCAGTCCATGCAAAGGGTTTACCTAAATTGTTAAATGAGGAGGCAAGTAATGTGTGTTCCTTTAAGAAGACGTAGCCATACTGAGAAGCAGCTGCTGAAGCAGAGAGGTGCTGTGGGGCAGAGGCCCAGTACCACAAAGAGCGGTAGCTTTAAACACACTGGAAGGAATGAGGCATGCAAGAATAAATATTACCACATCATCCTCTGCTTTAAAGCGAAGACCAAGCCGGCTTTCCTTTTGTCCATCTCTAGCCCCAGGTCTTGACTTTGAACGCTGGGGTTGTTTCCCATACCCTTCCTACTTCTGGGTTTTTGTCTTCGGAAGGAACCCAGCCCACTTCTGCCTTAACTCCTGAGAGTCTGGGTGGAAAAAACCCAGCTTCGGGCCTCTCCCTTGCTAACACTGTAATGGCATGTGGCCAGTCCTGGGACAAGGCAGGGCAGGGGATCATCAGGGAAAACTTCGTAAGCAGGAGATCAGTTAGGAGATATTTGTATTTTTAGAAGGTACTTCTTAATAGCTGGGTTCTAGCACAATTTGGCTGGCCTCCCATGGTGCAGAAGATGCCAAAATCTCCTTGGTGCTTGGAGCAGTTTCTTTGAGTAATGCTGGCATTTTAAAGGTAGCAGCTGCCAGGGGATGGAGACATTGGAAACAATGCCAAAAACCAGTAAGAAGAGACATTTTGTAAACGGGCTTCAGTGCCACACATGGGAACCAGATCCTCTGGTGGCATTTATTCCACCTCTGCCAAGGTAGGTGATTCCCAAGACACTGCCTGAAACTGTTTGGCAAAGGAAGGTGTTAGGTATCATGTTTCAACACATTCAATTACCCAAGGTGATTAACAGCAATATTTTAAACTGGATGGGTAAAAAAAATTCCTTTCTAATGGTTGATTTCTATCTGCCTTCATATTTTTATATTTCTAGGAACTCTGGCATAGAATGAAGAAAGACTCGTTCTCCTAAGATAGTGTTCATTTAATGCTGCAAGTTAATTTTCCTTAAGACTGTTTACTTCAGGAGAAATTTCTGAACAGATCCACACACATCCTTTAAAAACATGAAGTGCTCAACTAGTTCTTATTTAGGAGCCTGACTTTAAATTTCTAGAGCAGCACAGGACCCTGATAAATACTTCAAGGTCTTTTAGCAATGACCATTTCATAGTTAATGATACTTAGTTTATAATACTACTTAATAATACTCATTTATAATAATTTCTTGAAATGTACATAATAAAATACAAGAGTCAGAAATATGTCTGTGTCAAAATCTATTTCTAGCCTCAAATATTTGTTATAGACCTTTGTGCCATCACTCTTTGAATAACAGAATTGAATTGTCACAAATGTGACACATACACATAAAAAATTCATAGACAAGCCACAAATGTTTCTTTCTAAGGTGATTTTGCTAATGGACATTTAAAAAACACAGGATTTTAATTTTCTTTATAGAAAATACAAGAAAAGAAGATGCCCATTTCTCCCTGATCAATTTTAAAACAGCTCTTAATGGCCAGGACTGCTGAAAGTTCAAAGTAGACTGAATGATGATCTTCTGAATGAGAGGGAGTTGGGAGCTGCTGTAATGAGTGCCGAGAAGACCAGCTGAGACAATGCACATGGAAATGCTCTAACCTACTTGTACTGGAGGATTTGGACACTGGGACTAAAAGCCAGATTCTGCCCGTCACAGAGCCTGCTGCCAGGCAACTTCTTCTTCTTCTTCTTCTTTTTTTTTTTTTTGTCTTTTTCATTTTTATCGGTACCATGGATCGAACTCACGACTGCCTGCTTGCAAGGCAGGAGGCGCTTATGCGGCTGATCTAAATCCCCAGCCCCCCAGGCAACTTCTCATCATCGTCTATACATTTGCCAAAATGTATTCCAAAGAACACTACAAAGAATGTTTCCAAAGCGCTGAAGAAGCAAACTTAAGGAATGCATGTAATGTCCTTTCCCATTCTAAACCAATAAAAATCCTTCTTTGATGCACATTACAACGTCTAGTCTTCATAAACACCAATGCTGGGTTGGTATGATTTCAGGAAAAAACAATGAAACATTGAATTTTGTTTATTTAGTTTTATAAAAGTTACGCTGCTTTTTCTCTTCCTTTTGAGGTTCTGGGGATAGAACCACTGGGCTGTCAAAAAGGCCCCTAGAATGAGTGTGTCAGCTGTAGGTACTGGCAAGTTGGCTCTTATTTTCAAAGGTAGTAAGAGATCTCCTAAGAGGTAAATCCTAAGGTCTTTTCGTGGACTGTGTTCTCCTTAGTCTCACTCCACTGAGACACGTGACTACCCATTTACAAGGGGGACTCTCAAATACATAGTCTTGCCCTGGCTTCTCTCCCAATCTGGTGACCTCCAAAGCCATATCCCAGTGATATATGTGCACCTGTATTTATAGTGGCATGTTTTTCAGTTGCTACATCCTGTAAGTAACCCAAATACCCATCAACCGATGAATGGATAAAAAAGGTTTTTTTTAATACAATGGAGTACTATTTGGCCATAAAGAAGGATAAACTTGAGACATTTATTGCTAAATGGATGGACCTTGAGACCATACTTTCAAGTGAAATAAATTGGACACACATGTAAATACTGCACTGTCTCACTAGTGTGAGAAACCTTAAGTGTGAGTAAGAACCAAACTGCACAAGAGAGATGGTGAAATGGGAAGAAATTGTTCAAAAGGAAAGGGGAACCAAGGAGGGAGCTGGGGAAAAGGAAGGAAGGGAGAAGAAAAAATGAGAAATAAGAGGATAAAATGGAATCAACGCTTTATAAATAAGGAAAGGAAGAGGAGTTAGAAAGGGCAGAAGGGAATAGGAGAAAAAATATTTTGTAGAGGTATAAAATTCCTGTAATCACTGTATCTACCTAAATTGTACCAATAAACTTAAACAACGGGTGAACAAAAAAAAAAATGAGTTGGGGGCTGGGGATTTAGCTCAGTGGCATAAGCACCTGCCTTGCAAGCAGGCGGTCATGAGTTCGATCCCTGGTACTGATTTAAAAAAAAGAGTTACTTGTGTTTCTCCCACAGTGTTTCCAGTCTGCCATCTTCTGTCAATGACAGAACAATGAGGGCAATACTGAGGCTCCAGCCTTGATTTGATTTTGATTCACACTGTCCTACTGCTCCAGGAGCTCTTGGATGATTCTCACCACTGCTCACAGCTCTTCCTCCCAGTTTAGCACCCTGCAGGCTCTTTTTACTCAGCTTCCCCACACCTACAGGCTTTTCTTTTGTATTATACTTGGTTTCTTACATAATGCTAAGTACTTCATTCAAGAGCTGCAATGGGAACCTACTTGTTCGCTTTGATGTACAACCTTTCTGCAGAAACAAGCTGCTTCAGTCAGCTGTGACTCAGTTATGCTGACTTGAGTGCATACACTTATTTCTGGAAGTGAAGATATAGGGCTTGCAACAAGCACATTATTATAAAACTGCTATCATGATGTCTTGTGCTCTGGGTGAATGATTTAGGGATGACAATGTATGTACCATTGTTGCCCCCTGATTGATATGTTTTGAAATTCTGTTATAGATTTTTCCTTCGATTTCTTTTTATCCTTGAAATGAAATGGATTTGGAAAAAAAAAACTGCTATCATAACCCAAATCTTAAGTTAATTAATGAAAGTTTTTGAAGGCATTAATTCTTTGAAGATAGGCCAATATTATCATCAAGCTGTTCACCAACCTGACAAGCACTCCTGATAAATTAACAGCCCTGACATAAGTTCTCTTGCCTCCACTGGTATTCTGTACTCCTGAAGTATCTCAAAAGAGCTGTGCTTTGGACCAGTATGTGGAAAAGGACTGCAGCAGGTGACAAGCTTAGGGAACAAAGCCATTGAGAAAATATCAGGAGTAACTCTGCAGATGACCATGAGCTAGGGAACAATGTGAGCCAATAGTACTTCCATGCTTTACAAGGTGTTGGGGGGACAGATTACAATTTCTGAACTTGTAGAGAAAAATTAACACGGAGTTTTAAAAAACATAGAAACCCATTCATACTCACAGTGTATCAATGTGCCCTATATTATTGCTAGCACTAGCTGACAGAATTCTTCAAACGCTGATTTGAAGATTTTGGTAATCTGCCAGATTTGGCAGTTGGATATCTAATTTAAACGACCACATTTTTCATTCTAAGTGAGGCTGATCATCTATGTGATAAATAATGGAGATTTTCTCTTTAAAGGAATGAAAGAGATTATTTCCTTTTCACTTTTTAAAAAGAAACAAATTCTTTGGAGCTACTTGTATATTAAAGTCTACCTGAGAATTGTGCACATAGAGCCCTTTTTATGTATACTGACTAATGAAATTGAGAGTATTTTTAAACTAGGCATAAAGGATAAGTAAATAAACAAAATAAATCTCCATTTGCTGGGCCTCCCATGCACCGCCCTGTCCCTCGAGTTTCAGTTCCAGATGTCTGGCTTCACCATTTCCATGGGCAGCTTCACACTTCTGTCTGAACCTCTAAATAACCTACCCACTTTAACTTCATAGAAATGGAATTACGTGCAATCTTCTGTAATTTGCTTCATCCTGCTAATGTTTCATACCATTACATATATAAATAAGGTTATATTTTAGTGTAGTTTATCACTTTCTATGATTCCTCCTGTGCAGGTTATTTTATGAATCTACTATAATTTACTTATTCATTCTTCTGGTTTTGCTATTATACAAGGTTGCTATGAGTATTGTACATTATTCTTAGTGGGTATGTACAGGATTTCTTTTGGAGATATATACAGACTTACTGTCATTTAAGTTTGTTTCTACTGCCACAGAAGGATATCCATAAATATTATGTGTAAAACAAAGTGACAGAGGAATATAGTTAAAATTCCATTTTTGTAAAAAAAAAAAAAAAACGAGTAAGTGTACAAAAATAAAATACATGTACACCAAAAAGTACTGTGTGTGTACGTGCAGATTTCATTCAGATGGAAAAGGTGATATAACCAAATCTACTTCGTTATTTTAAAAGGAACACATCAGACATGGAAGAGAATGAACCTGTGCTTTACACCTCTCTATATTAACTTGATGAAACAGGAATTTATTGCTTCTGTAAATTTAAAACTATAATTAAAAAGAAAAAGGTCTATCAACACTGCTATAAAATTCTGGTATAATTCTAGGAGCCTATTTTAAAATTGAATTGACTAACTTCCCTGCATTAGTTTCCCACAGCTATCACCTCTTTAGCAATATAAACCATCATTGTGAAAATTTACTCTAAGTAAAAGTCAGTTAACTGAAAATGATTTTCATGATTTTGAGCATCATATTATTTTTTTCCCAGATGACAATGTTCATTTTTATTGAAACCATGGCTGCTATTCTATAAAACCTTTAGAAGGTCATCAAAATAACTTCCTTGAATAGTAAATCTGTGGAATGCCAAAGAGATAAACATATTAGACCGACAGGAAAACACTGAAACAAAACACATGGGAATGAGCAATTCCCTCATCCTACACGGTGAAGTGAAAGCAAAGGACTTATGATGAGAAGAAGCCACTTTTTAAGTTGTACAACTGAGCTGTTAGGGAAGTTAAAGAAAGAAAGAGCAGAAGAACAAAAAATTAACGATACCTTTTTCTTGTGATATTTTCTCAGTGGTGGCCTGATGGAGGCAAGGGCAGTCATCTATATCGCGGTCACCATTTGAAGGAGAAGAGAGTGAAGGGTCTCCCCAGACAGAGGACAAAGGCTCCCCTTCCGGGTTCGGAGGTCCTTCCTGGAACTCGGCTATGTGGTCAGCCGAGAAGGGCGTGGGGCTAGCCACTGGGGCGAGGGGTGGAATACCAGAACCTGATTCTGGAGAAGTTCTCAGCCCCTCGGGTGGGGATGATTTGGTAACATGCGTGTGGTTACAGAGACTGTCTGCAGGCTGTTGGTATAAGAGATTATAAAGGAGGTTATGCCAGTTCTATCCAATACTTACTCTGAAATAAAAAAAAAAAAAAACAACCTTTTTTTGTTTAGTGAATTCCCATGAAAAGGAATTTTGTTTATTGGTTTACCAACCAGAAAGCATAATTCATAACCGTTCATCATATTAACATTACAGCTAACACAGATACCCAAGACATACAGAAACAACTACTGGTACATTCATTATTTCCCACTACAAAAAACCCAACAGCTGAACAGCAAATGCACCATCATGAAATACGACAAAATGGGTAATGCTCTTGGCTAGTGTGCTAAATGAGTGGAAAAAAGACTTTGAATTACAACAATATATCGAGTTGCATATTCAGGAAAAAAAAAAACACATGAATTACTCTAGCTGTTTTCAACCAGGGTATATATTCTAGGGTATATAACCGTTATTTCCAATAAGCTATAAGAAAAATAATACAGCACAGCACAGGTCTGGAGGCTCTCACCTTGCGCTCGAGACTGTCCTCTCCATCTGTAGAGCTGACACTGTCATACAGCCTTGTCCTCGTGGGCCGCTGGCGCCTGTTCTTCACGGAGAGCTGGGCACGAGTTTTCAGTGCTTTGGAATCCAGACGCTCGGTCTCTGGAACTGCTTCATTCAAGTCTAAGAACAGAGTGGAAACTTCATCAACAAAATAGTCAGTGAGAGAAACTTTTGGAGAGGACTGATAAAAGGACCCAGGACACTGGTAACAAAATCTCCAGGTTACCAGCAACACCAGGAAACAGATGACAACCCTGATAGCCTGATATTCCACAGGTAAAAAAACCAGTGGAACTGAGAGAAATACGTGAGGTCTAAAGGAAGAAACTAACACTAAAATTGACCAATGTAGCAACAAAAACTAACATCCAAAGAGCACAAAATCTTTCTACAAAGTAATCATAAAAGGTATGATTTCATCTGCTTATGTGTATATATACTGGGGTGTTTTTTTTTTTAATTTTTATTTTAAAAGGGGTAAAATTAAACACAACAAAACAGAACAAAATAGGACATAAGAAAGCAATGTAAGAGATATAAATTTCAAAGCTAGACGACTTGAGATCTTCATTGTCTATCATATTGTCTCTTGTTTTCTTCCAAACAATTGTCCATGTCTTTGCAGAAAGAGAATTAATACAAAACAACATAGTATAATACTGATCTGAACAGAATGAGGAAGGTGTTTTAGGTCTTTAGAACCAGACAATAGGGAACTCACTAATGGCTGCTGTAGTCTCTCGTTCTCTTCAAAATAGCTGTCCATACTTTTATGTATATTGAAGTTTAACAAAACAAAACAGGCAAGGGGGGAGGGGTTGCTTGGTTTCTCAGCACTCCAGGTCCCAGCATGGCGCGGGTTTCAGTAAATGCCAGTGACTCCGGTCCTGGGCCACCATAGCTGCCACACTCACAACTGCTCACCAGGTGGGGAAGAGTTGCTAAGTTTCCTGGAGCTCCAGGTCCCAGCATGGCATGGGTTCCAGTAGTAAATGCTGGAGGCTCCTGTGATATACTGGGGTGTTTCATGACCATGGATTGAGGGAATGTATACCAAGGTGGGGAGATCTTGGGTTATTCAAATGAGGATGAATAAGGAAAGTATATCCAGAAATACATCTATGTATTTGTTGAAGAAAAAGACGATCTGCTTGCATTTATTTGCATATGTAATCACACCTTAGAGATAAAGCAGGTTAGTGGCTGGGAATGTGGCTCAGGGTGCAGTGCCTGCCTAGCATGAACTGGGCTTTGCATTCAAACCACCGACTGCCTGGAAAAAAAGTCTGGCTATCTTTTCACAGTGTCAGTCATTAAATGAAGCCACATTCAAGAAACTAATAATTAAGCATTTCTAGGTTTAATAATTTATTATTAAAAATAAGGAAATGATGACGCTTGAGAAAACTAGTATATACTGGTATTAATTGAATAAAACAATTTCTTATACTATATTGTTAGTTCAGGTAATTTCTTTTGGTAGCATTATCTTAAAGATGTGTTCTAAATACGTTAAAAACCAAAACATGAAAGCAACTCAAGTTATTCCTCTTTTATTTATGAAACCTTTGTGAAAAGATGCTAAGAAATAAAATTAAATGTACTTTTCCTAGGAGATACAGCCACTGCACGACAATATTTACAAAAGTTTTGACTTTTCATTTCCTATACTTTAATGAATAATAAATATTCAGAAAAGTCACACTATTCAAACACATATAAAGAACAGCTAGATATTTTCAAATTAGTCTCTTTATTTTGTATATGGTAATGGAGGAGAAATATTCTTGATCACTTTATTTTTCTCCTTCTAATAAAAATCTATATTTGCAGCCACTTTTTGCAAGTTCATTGGTTGTGATAACCAAGACAAAATCAAACTTACAAGCTCTGTTTACATATAAAATGCAGCATGCAGAGAGACTAAAGCAATTAGAATGCTGCAGTAATTAGAAATGCTGCAGTACATGCAGGTTTTGCATCTTTTCTGTCTCATGTTTAGACTGAAAGCTCTATGACCCAAAGTACTGTCATGCACTCCATCTCAGCTGTTCTCCATCACAACCCCTGAGAAACACAGCAAGTATGTTTTTCCTCTCTAGAACTCAGAAAACTCAAGTAGCTTGCCCTCATTTACAAAGCTAGTTGTTGGGCTATTCCCATTATTCTACTGCGTTTTCTCCCAGGCTACTAGGCTGTCCATTCCAGTTTGGCTAGTATTGAAAACGCTACTATAAAGGTCATTACAATTCAGTGTTTTAGGTTATAAAACTATACATGATTTGACTAGTCTAAAAATTGAGGTCTCCAACAGATTAAATATCAGTATTATCATTAATCTTCCATGTGTTTATTAGGGGGTCATAAAAAAAGGAAGACATTTTGAAAACTATAAAACAAATTGCGTTTCAGGTGATTTCATGTCTGGGTGGTTTAATAATAACTTTGGTTCTCACTTCCAAAAAGACCCCCAGAAGATGCTCCTCCCAGTTTTGTCAACATGATTCCTTTTTCCAATAAAATCCTGGCCCATGAGGACCCAGCAAAGCAGCCCAAGTCCAGGACTAGTGTAGCTACTTCATTACACAGAACTAAAAAAATAAAGGAGGCAGAAGTGAGAAGGGTTTTATTAACAGGGCCTAAGGGTACAGAGGATTTGTTCTGACTCCTGGGTCCATTGCTAGTAGTAATTTGCCTACTGTTGCTGTTAGCCAGCCTCAAAGGGCAATATGATACCCGTGCTGGAACATTAACTGACAGTGTGCAAACTTCTAGAGTACACACCTGAAATGATGTCTACTAAAGATGGAGTCAGTAGATCCATGTGACCAACAACACACTGTATGCAGTTAACAATTTCTGAGGGTCTCAGAGCAAATAAAAGCCTTCATGGCAGTGATTATGGACTACAAATCAGTACTTTATATTGCACCCTGGAAAAAAATCTGTTTTTGAAAAGGATCAAAAAAAAAAAAAAAAAAAGGAATGGTGCTGAGAAATTTCCACTTGAACAGCACACACACTAGGAAGCAGCAGGAAGGAACACTGTCTTTAAGAACAGCTACCAAGGACGCACAAGAGATCCAACATGGCTGACAAGAGCTCTGTATAAACAGGAGGGAAATTCACACAAGACTTATGCTGCTGGGTATACAAATGCTTGACCACTACATACAATCTTCTTCCACTACACAATGTAAGAATCATAATAGTACAACTCAAAAGAACACTGATCTTCGGGTCCAACCTTATTTCTCAATAGAAGCAGTCTCAAAGGCCTCTCACTGTGTACTAACTTGTACCCCTTGAATGACCTGTGGGAAAGAAACAATAGGGTGCAGGCCTAGAAGTCCTAGAAAGTCACATTCACATATGGAGTAAAAATAAGCCATTTTCTGCTTTCCTTGAATCCTCTTTTGGATTTTAATTCATTTTCTAAATAAAACACATGTCGAAGGCTAATTTTGCAAACTCACAGAAGTATGTAGTAACAAAGAAAAAACACTGAGGGATTTTATTTGGCTTTGTGTATATATCCAAGGAATAACACACATACAGCTTCAGGATGGCAGTGTAACAGGAAAAATCTAGCTCCTGGCTGGCTCAGTGCTTCTAAGGTACATGCTGCTAGATGCGAAGGCTCAGGTGGCCACGTTCCTTGGTGTCCCTCATCCCTACAAAGATCTTAATAACAACACCCCTTCCCTAAAACCAAGACCTCTGTTCTTCTGCCTCCCTCTGCCCAACAGAGTTGCTTCTTCTGTTGTCCATAAGCAACAGAGGGAAATTTCCTTTCCATCTCCTCTGCTTGCTTATTTATTTTTTCTTTCTTTCAGACCCCCAGTCTGTGAATTAGCCTTCCTGACTCAAATGTAGCTAGAGAGACAAAGAGCAGCAGACATAAATGGAACAATAATACTGACAGATACATTCAGAGCAGATACACAGGAGCTAATGACAGAGCAGTCTCCAATGGGTGGGACTAACCTCAGCTGCATTTTAAGACTGGTTTCAGTATTGCTTCAAATTGGAGCCTTTGAGAGAATTTAATGGATTCGATTATGCTTTAAGCAGCTGTTATGAAAAATGCTCTATGAAGTTAGGATGTTCTACATCATATTACTCAGAGATCAGTTCCCTATAGTAATGCTGTGAATCAGTCTGGGTTTTTTTTTTTTTTTTTTCTGTTGGGTTGATGTTATTTTTGACGTAAAGGGAACGCACCCTGAAGATCAGATACCGGAGGCAAGGGAACTAGGGGAAAGGAGCTGCATAACAATGCTCTCGTTCCCACATTCTTATGCGCCTTATTCTCCTCCAAAACAGCTACACTTTGGTTGTGGAACTATCAGTTGAAAAGCTGAGCATAATGAAGCACTCAGTAGCACTTAAAAAGTTTAAATGGCATCTGCATATTATTCAGTCACTCTAAGTTCATAAAACATGGACCCACTGGGATTTGGTTTAATATATACTGCACTCAGGACGTAGGTTTATGTATCTCAGAGCAGTAGTGTGAAACAGTCACCCTGAGAGGAGACATAGAGTTAGTTTTCCTGGAATAGAATCCAGAACAAAAAGCAAGCACTGCCAGGAAAGCAGGCAACTTACCTATTTTCTCAGAGATCCCTCAGGATCCTCAACTACAAACCAGCAATGATAACAACATAACACAATAATTGCATTGTTATGAAAATTAAATGCATTAATAGATCTAACAGTGCTTGCAAGAGTGATTGTTACATTATAGGCTCTTGATAAATGTCTTTATATATCAACATTAGAGCAAACTATAGAACAGTATGTACATTCATTTAAAATATTTAGAAAGAATATTAGATTTTCTCATGTAAACATATTGCATATAATTATATAGAAAAGCTGCAAGATATACTTCCTACCAGAGTGTTAGATTAGAAGATGTTGGCCAAAAGAGAGTTTAATCTTACTTGTAATGTTAAATATTTTACATATTTTGTTTTATTTAAGTTTTGCATTAATGTACTACTCATATTTAGAATTAAAAGAGAAAATTCTCCATATATTTGGTACATTTTTCTTCAAAGACATCTTAATTTCATTCATTAGAATGAATTAAATTATTGAGTAGCCCAGCAGGT